GCCTGATGTTTGGCAACTCAAACCTTCAGCTTCCTCCACAGATTTTCTATGGGATTAAGGTCTGGAGACTGGCTAGGCCACTCCAGGACCTTAATGTGCCTCTTCTTGAGCCACTCCTTTGTTGCCTTGGCCGTATATTTTGGGTCATTGTCATGCTGGAATACCCATCCACGACCCATTTTCAATGCCCTTGCTGAGGGAAGGAGGTTCTCACCCAAGATTTGACAGTACATGGCCCCGTCCATCGTCCCTTTGATGCTGTGAAGTTGTCCTGTCCCCTTAGTAGAAAAACACCCCCAAAACATAATGTTTCCACCTCCATGTTTGACGGTGGGGATGGTGTTCTTGGGGTCATAGGCAGCATTCCTCCTCCTCCAAACACAGCGAGTTGAGTTGATGCCAAAGAGCTCCATTTTGGTCTCATCTGACCACAACACTTTCACCCAGTTCTCCTCTGAATCATTCAGATGTTCATTGGCAAACTTAAGATGGGCCTGTATATGTGCTTTCTTGAGCAGGGGGACCTTGCAGGCGCTGCAGGATTTCAGTCCTTCACGGCGTAGTGTGTTACCAATTGTTTTCTTGGTGGCTATGGTCCCAGCTGCCTTGAGATCCTTGACAAGATCCTCCCGTGTAGTTCTGGGCTGATTCCTCACCGTTCTCATGATCATTGCAACTCCACGAGGTGAGATCTTGCATGGAGCCCCAGGCCGAGGGAGATTGACAGTTCTTTTGTGTTTCTTCAATTTGCGAATAATCGCACCAACTGTTGTCACCTTCTCACCAAGCTGCTTGGCGATGGTCTTGTAGCCCATTCCAGCCTTGTGTAGGTCTACAATCTTGGAGAGCTCTTTGGTCTTGGCCATGGTGGAGAGTTTGGAATCTGATTGATTGATTGCTTCTGTGGACAGGTGTCTTTTATACAGGTAACAAACTGAGATTAGGAGCACTCCCTTTAAGAGTGTGCTCCTAATCTCAGCTCGTTACCTGTATAAAAATCACCTGGGAGCCAGAAATCTTTCTGATTGAGAGGGGGTCAAATACTTATTTCCCTCATTAAAATGCAAATCAATTTATAACATTTTTGACATGCATTTTTTCTGGATTTTTTTGTTGTTATTCTGTCTCTCACTGTTCAAATAAACCTACCATTAAAATGATAGACTGATCATGTCTTTGTCAGTGGGCAAACGTACAAAATCAGCAGGGGATCAAATACTTTTTTCACTCACTGTGTGTGTGTGTGTATATATATATGTGTGTGTATATGTATATATATGTGTGTGTGTGTGTGTGTGTGTATATGTACACACACACACACACACACACACACGTTTTAATAATAGCCAGTCTGCACACTCCAAGAGAAGAGGGCTTTCTCTAAATATAGCTCTTAATATCCCTGACTGAGTGTGTTGGGCTAGAAAGGGAGGGAGGAAAGGGGGAGGAGGAGAGGAAGAAGGAGAGGGGGAAGAGGGAGAGTGAATGGAAGGCTGAAAGATGACAGAATTAAAGCTTTTTCTGTTATCTAATCTGCTGCTTTAGGGTGCTTTTCTTCAATAGAACCCAGGGTAGCTTTCTGGTTGGCCAACTTCACATCCCCACTGTATATGTCCACTGTCCAGTAACACTACGGTGATCAGAGTAAAGTCAGACCCAGACCACATAGAACCAGTTTGATTAATGTTGACCAGAACTAACTGACCATCTCTCTCTCTCTCTCTCTCTCTCTGATTTAACAGGCAGGGGTCATTTTGTGGCTTCTTTCTTCCTCTCTTCTTTGTAGTGTTTGCACTGAAATGCCTGATGCCTCTGAAAAGGACTGAGCAGAGTCACTTCCTGTGTCAAACACTGCTTCCAACTGCAATTGTTGTTATTTTGATTTTGCTGTTCACATATGCAAGCTCAGAGCATTTGACTGTGGTTATACACATTCAGATTCCTTATTCAGTGCCACATTGAACAAAGTACACACACTGACTGACATTGTGTTATTGCATGAATAGGTTTTAATTTCAGTGGTGAGTTCTTGCCTTTTTCACCGCCACTGAAAAGAAAACACACACACTAACATCTTCACAGACTGACATGCCCATCCTCACATGCAGAGAGACAGCATGGCTTTGCATGAAGGAGTGCATGTGACTTTGAAGGCTGTATTTTATATTGTTAGAATTTTGACCAAAAAAAGATTGAGGAAAACATATGAGGAGAAATATACTGTTGTGTTTATCATTTTAATGGACAATGTCATTATGATGATGGCTGTTTGTTGAATGTTTTTATTCTCACTTATTTTGTATATTTTCTCATTGAATTAATTTTGATCTAGGTTTGATTGGCATCATTCATTCATCCAATGAGCTTTAATCATGGTTTATTTTGGGAAAGGGGATGGGGCTTTTTGTGGAATGTGTGGATTGAAAACTTTTCTATAGGTTTGCAGATTTAATATATTTAACATATCATTGCTGTAATATGATCATTCATTTTAAATCTAACTGATCGTCATTGCTATCTATTGAGGTGCTCTTCCTGAAACTCCTTTTTAGTTTTTGTTGCATATTGCTCTTCCATGTCTGATTGTTATAAAAAGGTCCAATGCTCAATGTTTTTCCAGCCTTGCAGCATGTAACTAACATTTCTACAATGTTTATATATGCAATATGTATAACGCAAGTACCACTATAACGCTAGCAGAATGAGACCCACTACCTGAAGTAACAGGAACATTTAAGGAACATTTAAATAACGTTTAAAGGACACATGGGCGTTCTAATGCTCTGTGGTCCATATGACGTCGTCATTTCACAAGTGCCTACATCATCTCAGGCCCCTGCATGGTAACAGGGGTAGGATAGGTTTTCTCTGTAAATGAATGTGATACATTTATGGGATGGAAATGACTACCCATGTCTCTGCATTTGATACACACACACACTCAGACACACACACAGAGGAGGAGGATGATGTCAGTGCAGTGTGCAATTATCCATAATCACCATGGCAACTCGCCGTTGTCAGTCCCCAAGCTTGCCGAAGGGACCAGCGAAAAGACACGTTTGATTTGCTTTATTATTTGTATTTTTTTTGTTTGTTTTTTTAATGGGTTTTTCATTATTTTGCGTGTCTCTGAAGTCAATCTCCCTTATTTTCCTTTTCCATTCTCTATGACATAATTTACTACAAGATAGATATTTTAGGGCAGGCACATATTTATTAATAGGTATTAATCAAAATAGAAGAATCTGATTTTTTTGAATGATTAGGTAATCAACTTGTGCAATAACGATTGTTCATCTCACTTTCTAACCAGATTTTAATATATGAATTGACATGTATGCGAGAAACTTATTTTTGTAAAGAAATTGAACTTTTTTAAACAATATGTATGTGTAAGAGGGAAACTAATGAACGCACGCGCGCACACACACACATATATATACACTCTGTCTGGTCCCAGGCCATTTCTGGATTCTGCTGCTTGTACTGTATCCGTCTGACTCTGGACTGTATGATGTGTTATAGGCCCACTACGGAAACCCACTGGGGTCAAACCAGCCAGAGCTTAACAAGTCCAGTGCTATTTTTCACAAGAACAAATAAAACAATGTTTTGTATATCAGGGATGAATAAAGAGATTTTAACAAATGGGAGTCTGGAATCTTGGTCAGAGTAACTTCTCATCCTAATATCTTCCTTTCCCTCTCCTCTCCTCCCACAAGCTGTAGAACAGCAACAGTTTTTTTTCCCTCTTTCTGTTTTTCTATTGCTCTCTTGTTATTTCCCTCTGGAGTGAGTTTGTTTTTAAAAAAAAATCTGTTTTTCAGAGTGAAATACCATCTGTACTGAAATGGGCAGATAAATGCTTAATTAAAGCTAAATGGGTTCATTCGTTAAGGTGTGAAAGTATACCTCTCTCCCTGTGGAGTCTAGCATCTGTGTTCCAGACAGCTGTGCAGTAGAGTAGGGTAAGTTTTAAACTGCCGTGTCCCTTCTGTTCCAGATGAGATAACAGTCCCGTCTCTGACGCCTTTTGTTCTGGATTATGTCCCAGTGTAATCTGTAATGCCGGTAATCTGACCAACAGTCAACACTGCGATCTGAGATGAGACCCAACACTGCCCAATCCTGTTAGAGATTTTGATTATTTATGTCTGTCTGTCTGTGTGTGAGAGAAACCGAGTAAGTGTATGATGGAGAGAAAATGGTACAAAACAAAATGGCTATCTGTAGTTTTTTTTACCCATCTTCTGTAGTTTAATGCCGTACAAGTCATTTGTATTGCTGTGGTGGTGCCGGTGCCGGTGCTAGTTCTTGGTGGAACAGCTGTACACATGCTCAACACGACCACTTTGAGTTTCGTCTCCTGTCCCAGGCGATGTGGACTTCATATTGATTAATAATAAATGAAGGTGTCACAGTACCAGCTCGGGAGAGAGTGAGGAGGATACAAGGGGGGGATATTTTAACTGTGACTCATAGTCAGACAGGCAGATTGATGTAATTGCTGCTAAAAAGTGCATAGGGCTCTATGAAAGTTTCCCTGCGCAAACTAAACTCGGTCTGACTTACGACTCTGATACTGTCTATGTGTGTGTTGGAGAGCGCAAGAGGCTAGGAGATGGAGAGAGGAGATGGAGAGAGGAGATGAAGTATGACAAGCATGAGATTTCTTTTTGCTTCTCTTCAAATCTTGTCACACAAATTATCATCCAGGATACTACTGGCTCTATGGCTGTGGACAAGTATTAATTGATGTCAAGAAACGCACAAGAAATAGCTAGTCACTTATTCATGAACAGAGCGCGCTCTCAGGTCTACCCAGTTTTTTCAGTATGGAGGTTTTTTTGGGGGGCGGTCCGTAACCTGGTCTGGACTTTTCTTTGACCAGGGTGCGCTGTGTGTATATGTAATAAACCAAACCCCATGTTACTTACTTTAATATGATGCCATGTTAATGATACATTTTGTATTTGTTGATACATTTTCTTTATAAAGATCATCCATTTATTAATTAAACAACAACAACATCAACCCATAAACAAACAAACATTAAAAACTCTACTGAAAACAAATCATCCATTTTTTATCAATAGCATTTCAGGACATCACATCTCTTCTATGTATAAAACTGGAGAGTGAAAATAGAAAACCATCTGAAGTCAGTCTGAGAGGCGTGCCTCGGACCGGTATGCGGGGGGTGCAGGGAGCTCCAGAACCCCCATAGTAGGGGTTCTCCTGACACTGACCACCAGCATGCCCTCAGGGGTCAGTGTGCCACTGACCGACAGGGGGTCCATGTCCTCTGGTAGCAGGGTCTTATGGGTAAATGTATCACTGACACTCCCATCCTCCAACACCTGAGGGAGAGAGGGTATGATGAGAGAGTGGAATGAGGGAGGAAGAGGGCAAGCAGAGAAGGAGTAAAGGAGAGATGGAGAATAGAGGGAATATGATAAGGGAAGGTCAAGGAAGAAGGGATAGGGGGAGACGAACGTGAGAAATAGAGAAGTAGGGAGGTCAATACATACAGATCTGCTATCCTTTGATCACTTGTCATAGCAGGAAATGCAAATTGTAGTGTATTCAAGGTTTTAAAAGGCTTCTAAAGTTTGTAATTTCCACTTAAAAATGTCAGACTTGATTTGCCCTAACAGAAAATATATCAACCACTACAAAAATGTCCATTAATTACAATCCACATAATTGAAATGTCCTGTTGCTGCAGGATTTTTTTTCCTGCTGTAAGAAACAGGGTCAAATTAAGATGGTAGGGAGCTGAGATCAGGCAGAGAATCACAACAAACAGTTGACCATAAGCAGTGTTTGTCTAAGCAGGGCCTTGGGGCTGCATGGCGAATAGATGGGAGGACTGGATGTAGGTTTTATTAAGTGGTTCTCTGGCCTGTTAAAGAGGAGCTCTGACATTTTGCCTTACAGCAACCATGGATTCAAGGTTTAAGAAGGCTTCTAAAGTTTGAAATTTCCACTTTAAAATGTCAGACTTGATTTGCCCTAACAAAAATGTGTCAACCCCTACAAAAAATGTCCATTAATTATAATATACAAAACAAATCACATTTCCTGTTGCTGCAGGATTATTTTCCTGCTGTAGCAAACTGGCTCAAATTAAGATATGGCATCTGTATATACAGTGGGGAGGATTTGATACACTGCCGATTTTGCAGGTTTTCCTACTTACAAAGCATGTAGAGGTCTGTAATTTTTATCTTAGGTACACTTCAACTGTGAGAGACGGAATCAAATCAAATCAAATTTTATTGGCCACATGCGCCGAATACAACAGGTGCAGACATTACAGTGAAATCCTTACTTACAGCCCTTAACCAACAGTGCATTTATTTTTAACAAAAAAGTAAAAATTAAACAACAACAAAAAAAGTGTTGAGAAAAAAAAGAGCAGAAGTAAAATAAAATAACAGTAGGGAGGCTATATATACAGGGGGGTGCCGGTGCAGAATCAATGTGCGGGAGCACCAGCTAGTTGAGGTAGTTGAAGTAATATGTAAATGTGGGCAGAGTTAAAGTGTCTATGCATAAATAATTAACAGAGTAGCAGCAGCGTAAAAGGATGGGGTGGGGGGGCAGTGCAAATAGTCTGGGTAGCCATGATTAGCCTTTTGGACCTAGACTTGGCACTCCAGTACCGCTTGCCGTGCGGTAGCAGAGAGAACAGTCTATGACTAGGGTGGCTGGAGTCTTTGACAATTTTGAGGGCTTTCCTCTGACACCGCCTGGTATAGAGGTCCTGGATGGCAGGAAGCTTGGCCCCAGTGATGTACTGGGCCGTACGCACTACCCTCTGTAGTGCCTTGGGTCGGAGGCCAAGCAGTTGCCATACCAGGCGGTGATGCAACCAGTCAGGATGCTCTCGATGGTGCAGCTGTAGAATTTTTTGAGGATCTGAGGACCCATGCCAAATCTTTTCAGTCTCCTGAGGGGGAATAGGCTTTGTCGTGCCCTCTTCACGACTGTCTTGGTGTGTTTGGACCATGATAGTTCGTTGGTGATGTGGACACCAAGGAACTTGAAGCTCTCAACCTGTTCCACTACAGCCCCGTCGATGAGAATGGGGGCGTGCTCAGTCCTCTTTTTTTTTCCTGTAGTCCACAATCATCTCCTTTGTCTTGGTCACGTTGAGGGAGAGGTTGTTGTCCTGGCACCACACGGCCAGGTCTCTGACCTCCTCCCTATAGGCTGTCTCATCGTTGTCGGTGATCAGGCCTACCACTGTTGTGTCCTCTGCAAACTTAATGATGGTGTTGGAGTCGTGCCTGGCCATTCAGTCATGGGTGAACAGGGAGAACAGGAGGGGACTGAGCACGCACCCCTGAGGGGCCCCCGTGTTAAGGATCAGTGTGTCAGATGTGTTGTTACCTACCCTTACCACTTGGGGGCGGCCTGTCAGGAAGTCCAGGATCCAGTTGCAGAGGGAGGTGTTTAGTCCCAGGATCCTTAGCTTAGTGATGAGCTTTGAGGGCACTATGGTGTTGAATGCTGAGCTGTAGTCAATGAATAGCATTCTCACGTAGGTGTTCCTCTTGTCCAGGTGGGAAAGGGCAGTGTGGAGTGCAATAGAGATTGCATCATCTGTGGATCTGTTGGGGCGGTATGCAAATTGGAGTGGGTCTAGGGTTTCTGGGATAATGCTGTTGATGTGAGCCATGACCAGCCTTTCGAAGCACTTCATGGCTACAGACGTCAGTGCTACGGGTCGGTAGTCATTTAGGCAGGTTATCTTAGAGTCCTTGGGCACGGGGACTATGGTGGTCTGCTTGAAACATGTTGGCATTACAGACTCAGTCAGGGACATGTTGAAAATGTCAGTGAAGACACTTGCCAGTTGGTCAGCACATGCTCTGAGTACACGTCCTGGTAATCCGTCTGGCCCTGCGGCCTTGTGAATGTTGACCTGCTTAAAAGTCTTACTCACATCGGCTATGGAGAGCGTGATCACATAGTCATCCGGAACAGCTGGTGCTCTCATGCATGCTTCAGTGTTGCTTGCCTCGAAGCGAGCATAGAAGTGGTTTAGCTCGTCTGGAAGTCTTGTGTCACTGGGCAGCTCGCGGCTGTGCTTCCCTTTGTAATCTGTAATAGTTTTCAAGCCCTGCCACATCCGACGAGCGTCAGAGCCAGTGTAGTACGATTCAATCTTAGTCCTGTATTGACTCTTTGCCTGTTTGATGGTTCGTCGGAGGGCATAACGGGATTTCTTATAAGCGTCCGGGTTAGAGTCCCGCTCCTTGAAAGCGGCAGCTCTACCCTTTAGCTCAGTGCAGATGTTTCCTGTAATCCATGGCTTCTGGTTGGGGTATGTACGTACGGTCACTGTGGGGACGACATCATCGATGCACTTATTGATGAAGCCAGTGACTGATGTGGTGTACTCCTCAATGCTATCTGAAGAATCCCGGAACATGTTCCAGTCTGTGCTAGCAAAACAGTCCTGTAGCTTAGCATCTGTGTCATCTGACCTTTTTTATTAACCGAGTCACTGGTGCTTCCTGCTTTAGTTTTTGCTTATAAGCAGGAATCAGGAGGATATAGTTATGGTCAGATTTGCCAAATGGAGGGCGAGGGAGAGCTTTGTATGCGTCTCTGTGTGTGGAGTAAAGGTGGTCTAGAGTTTTTTTTCCTCCGGTTGCACATTTAACATGCTGGTAGAAATTAGGTAGAACGGATTTAAGTTTCCCTGCATTAAAGTCCCCGGCCACTAGGAGCGCTGCATCTGGATGAGCGTTTTCCTGTTGATTTATGGCCTTATACAGCTCATTCAATGCAATCTTAATGCCAGCATTGGTTTGTGGTGGTAAATAGACAGCTATGAAAAATATAGATGAAAACTCTCTTGGTAAATAGTGTGGTCTACAGCTTATCATAAGATACTCTACCTCAGGCGAGCAAAACCTCGAGACTTCCTTAGTATTTGATTTTGTGCACCAGCTGTTGTTTACAAATATACACAGACCGCCACCCCTTGTCTTACCGGAGTCAGCCGTTCTATCCTGCCGATGTAGCGTATAGCTCGCTAGCTGTATGTTATCCATGTCGTCGTTCAGCCACGACTCGGTGAAACATAAGATATTACAGTTTCTAATGTCCCGTTGGTAGGATAACCGTAATCTTAGGTCATCCAATTTGTTCTCCAATGATTGAAGATTGGCTAATAGGATTGATGGAAGAGGCAGTTTACTCGCTCGCCGTCGGATCCTTACAAGGCACCCCGACCTACGTCCACGATATCTCCGTCTCTTCCTCACGCGAATGACGGGGATTTGGGCCTTGTCGGGTGTCTGTAGGATATCCTTCGCGGCCGCCTCGTTGAAGAAAAAATCTTCGTCCAATACGAGGTGAGTAATCGCTGTCCTGATATCCAGAAGCTCTTTTTGGCAGAAACATTATGTACAAAATAAATTACAAGTGACGCGGAAAAACACACATAATAGTACAATTGGTTAGAGGGCTGTAAAACGGCAGCCATCTTCTCCGGCGCTGTTTACCTTCCTAAAACAAAAATCCAGAAAATCACATTGTATGATTTTTAAGTAATTAATTTGCATTTTATTGCATGACATAAGTATTTGATCACCTACCAACCAGTAAGAATTCCGGCTCTCACAGACCTGTTAGTTTTTCTTTAAGAAGCCCTCCTGTTCTCCACTCATTACCTGTATTAACTGCACCTGTTTGAACTCGTTACCTGTATAAAAGACACCTGTCCACACACTCAATCAAACGCCATCCTCTCCACAATGGCCAAGACCAGAGAGCTGTGTAAGGACATCAGGGATAAAATTGTAGACCTTCACAAGGCTGGGATGGGCTACAGGACAATAGGCAAGCAGCTTGCTGAGAAGGCAACAACTGTTGGCGCAATTATTAGAAAATGGAAGAAGTTCAAGATGACGGTCAATCACCCTCGGTCTGGGGCTCCATGCAAGATCTCACCTCGTGGGGCATCAATGATCATGAGGAAGGTGAGGGATCAGCCCAGCCCAGAACTACACGGCAGGACCTGGTCAATGACCTGAAGAGAGCTGGGACCACAGTCTCAAAGAAAACCATTAGTAACACACTATGCCGTCATGGATTAAAATCCTGCAGCGCACGCAAGGTCCCCCTGCACAAGCCAGCGCATGTCCAGGCCCGTCTGACGTTTGCCAATGATCATCTGGATGATCCAGAGGAGGAATGGGAGAAGGTCATGTGGTCTGATGAGACAAAAATAGAGCTTTTTGGTCTAAACTCCACTCGCTGTGTTTGGAGGAAGAAGAAGGATGAGTACAACCCCAAGAACACCATCCCAACCGTGAAGCATGGAGGTGGAAACATAAATCTTTGGGGATGCTTTTCTGCAAAGGGGACAGGACGACTGCACCGTATTGAGGGGAGGATGGATGGGGCCATGTATCGCGAGATCTTGGCCAACAACCTCCTTCCCTCAGTAAGAGCATTGAAGATGGGTCGTGGCTGGGTCTTCCAGCATGACAACGACCTGAAACACACAGCCAGGGCAACTAAGGAGTGGCTCCGTAAGAAGCATCTCAAGGTCCTGGAGTGGCCTAGCCAGTCTCCAGACCTGAACCCAATAGAAAATCTTTGGAGGGAGCTGAAAGTCCGTATTGCCCAGCGACAGCCCCAAAACCTGAAGGATCTGGAGAAGGTCTGTATGGAGGAGTGGGCCAAAATTCCTGCTGCAGTGTGTGCAAACCTGGTCAAGACCTACAGGAAACGTATGATCTCTGTAATTGCAAACAAAGGTTTCTGTACCAAATATTAAGTTCTGCTTTTCTAATGTATCAAATATTTATGTCATGCAATAAAATGCAAATTAATTACTTAAAACTCATACAATGTGATTTTCTGTATTTTTGTTTTAGATTCCATCTCTCACAGTTGAAGTGTACCTATGATAAAAATTACAGACCTCTACATGCTTTGTAAGTAGGAAAACCTGCAAAATTGGCAGTGTATCAAATACTTGTTGTCCCCACTGTAGCTCTCCTATACAGTGGGGGAAAAAAGTATTTAGTCAGCCACCAATTGTGCAAGTTCTCCCACTTAAAAAGATGAGAGGCCTGTAATTTTCATCATAGGTACACGTCAACTATGACAGACAAAATGAGAAAAAAAAATCCAGAAAATCACATTGAGGATTTTTAATGAATTTATTTGCAAATTATGGTGGAAAATAAGTATTTGGTCAATAACAAAAGTTTCTCAATACTTTGTTATATACCCTTTGTTGGCAATGACACAGGTCAAACGTTTTCTGTAAGTCTTCACAAGGTTTTCACACACTGTTGCTGGTATTTTGGCCCAGTCCGTGTCGCTGGGCAACACAGACTTTCAACTCCCTCCAAAGATTTTCTATGGGGTTGAGATCTGGAGACTGGCTAGGCCACTCCAGGACCTTGAAATGCTTCTTACGAAGCCACTCCTTCGTTGCCCGGGCGGTGTGTTTGGGATCATTGTTATGCTGAAAGACCCAGCCACGTTTCATCTTCAATGCCCTTGCTGATGGAAGGAGGTTTTCACTCAAAATCTCACGATACATGGCCCCATTCATTCTTTCCTTTACACGGATCAGTCGTCCTGGTCCCTTTGCAGAAAAACAGCCCCAAAGCATGATGTTTCCACCCCCATGCTTCACAGTAGGTATGGTGTTCTTTGGATGCAACTCAGCATTCTTTGTCCTCCAAACACGACGAGTTGAGATTTTACCAAAAAGTTCTATTTTGGTTTCATCTGACCATATGACATTCTCCCAATCCTCTTCTGGATCATCCAAATGCACTCTAGCAAACTTCAGACGGGCCTGGACATGTACTGGCTTAAGCAGGGGGACACGTCTGGCACTGTAGGATTTGAGTCCCTGGCGGCGTAGTGTGTTACTGATGGTAGGCTTTGTTACTTTGGTCCCAGCTCTCTGCAGGTCATTCACTAGGTCATCCCGTGTGGTTCTGGGATTTTTGCTCACCGTTCTTGTGATCATTTTGACCCCACGGGGTGAGATCTTGCGTGGAGCCCCAGATCGAGGGAGATTATCAGTGGTCTTGTATGTCTTCCATTTCCTAATAATTGCTCCCACAGTTGATTTCTTCAAACCAAGCTGCTTACCTATTGCAGATTCAGTCTTCCCAGCCTGGTGCAGGTCTACAATTTTGTTTCTGGTGTCCTTTGACAGCTCTTTGGTCTTGGCCATAGTGGAGTTTGGAGTGTGACTGTTTGAGGTTGTGGACAGGTGTCTTTTATACTGATAACAAGTTCAAACAGGTGCCATTAATACAGGTAACGAGTGGAGGACAGAGGAGCCTCTTAAAGAAGAAGTTACAGGTCTGTGAGAGCCAGAAATATTGCTTGTTTGTAGGTGACCAAATACTTATTTTCAAATAAATTCATTAAAAATCCTACAATGTGATTTTCTGGATTTTTTTTCCTCAATTTGTCTGTCATAGTTGACATGCACCTATGATTAAAATTACAGGCCTCTCTCATCTTTTTAAGTGGGAGAACTTGCACAATTGGTGGCTGACTAAATACTTTTTTCCCCATTGTAGCCTCACCCTTCAATGGGATTCACACTTCTCCCTCATCATCCCCCAGTACACAATAACCAAGTACATCATTAAACATGACACACACTGCGCACACACAAACACGTCATTGCACTTATCATTTGTACCTACAGTGTGCACACAGACACATCCTCTTTCACTAATGGGTACCCACACATACACACTATGCCCTTCACACACTCACCTTTTCAGCGTGGATGACTATGTTGTGGTTGTAGGCCATCAACACTATGTCGTGAGGTTGAAACTGACTGACGTCAGCTGACATGTAGTAACTATCCCCCAACGATCTGACCACGCCCATACTGGCAGGACGACCTGGCACAGTGCCACTTGTTGGGACTGGAGGGAAGAGCAGACAACACAGTGAGTGGAGACATATGTTTATTTATTCAACTCTTATTTTCTTGTTCTCAACATCACCAACTTGGGGAAGAATAAACCAGAGCATGAGAAAATATATAAAGGAATTAAGGGAAAATATGGGTGATTTAAAGTTTATTATCCAGTCCTTGGGGGAGATATATTTCAGTTTTATGTGGAGACAACTGGAGAATACAGGCCATTCAAGTTCATTAGTGAGCAATGATTCTGTTTGGAACATAAAACTAATTTAATGCCCATCTGGACAGGAAAGAACCTGAGTGGTATACTACGACGCAAGCTAGATCTACTCAGGCTTTTATAAAGCTAGCTAGCTTCAGTTAGCTTCACATTCCAGGTCAGCAGGCCCGGCTCCAGTCATAAACGACATAAGCGGTCGCTTAGGGCCCCTGGCCACTAGGGGGACCCCGACCTAAAAATGGGTAGAATTACAGGAAATTAGCTTTAAACTGCTAAAATTTCTCCGCCCCATGGCTTAATGTGTAGAACTACAGAAAACTTGCTTTAAACACACACAAAAAACACACACATTTCAAAAAATATATTTAATCAGTCCTCTTTCTCAAATGAAGGGGATGATGACACAATCTTTGCTAGAGGGAGGGAACCTGATTTCATTGGTCCTCAACTCGTGACTCAGACACTTCATTCAGGATAAATGGAGTTAGCCCCGAGTTATGCTGCGTTCAAAACAACTGGCAACTTGTAAATCTCTGACTTCTGACTTCAGTGCATTCAAGACAACTGGGAACTTGGGGGTGAAAACAAAGTCCAACTGTGAAAAATGTTGGCATCTTTCTAGAGCAGGTTAGTTCTGAACGATTCGTTGCCATATACATTTACCTGGCCAAAAGGTGAGCCACTTTCATATTGGTCATTTAGCAGACGCTCTTATCCAGAGCGACTTACAGTTAGTGCATACATTATTTTATTTTTTTCATACTGGCCCCCCGTGGGAATCGAACCCACAAACCTGGCGTTGCAAACACCATGCTCTACCAACTGAGCTACATCCCTACCGGCCATCCCTGTGCGCCGCCCCATGGGTCTCCCGGTCGCGGCCGGATACGACAGAGCCTGGATTCGAACCAGGATCTCTAGTGGCACAGCTAGCACTACGATGCAGTGCCTTAGACCACTGCGCCACTCGGGCGCCACTATGACTGGGTTAACTCAGACTTGACAAAAGTTAACTCGCTAACTCCTCAAACCTGGTACGTAGTATACCCCTCAACACAAAATAGAGCCATACTCAAGCCCCAGTGCTAACCTGCGTCCCGATTGTGTCCACATGCTGATTGTGCCCACATTTTCAGACAGGTGTAGATGATCAAAAGACACATTATGATCTGATTGTGATCTGATCTTCCTGCCCACCTGTGGCGGTAGTCAAACACGAATTGTGTCTGGATATCTCACAAGTGTAAACGAATCTGGACAGTGAAACCATTTAAATCATAATTATTCTGCCTAAAATCATTGACACTTTAATCATTATGAGATCAACATGTATTAAAATACTTACTGCCTATTAGAGCACTTTAGCTAAGACACTGGAGACTGGTTGGAGCCACACTGTACACTCTGACAGTGAGACTTTACAGTAGACATCTCCCACTGTTCTGGTTCATTATCTTGTTTGAGATGCTGCTTTTTCTACCAACGTACATGTAACTGCCACAGTCTCTAGCGCCTTCTGGGTCATTCCACAAATACAGTGCCTTTTGATATTTTAAGTACAAATTGTGCACCAATATTGAATTTTAAATTCTGTTATATTAAATGAAGTGCCCTGTAATCTAAACCAAATGGGACATTTTATAAATCAGATATTTTATATTAATAAAGATTTGCTAAAGTGCCAAAAAGTCAGCATTTTGACATGTCTCACGTCATGTTTTTCTGACTTCTAGGAAGATGTTAACCCATAAGTTGTCCCCATCATTGTAAAGTCCTAGTTGTTATTTTGCTTTGACAAAGTCATTTCTGAAGATTATTATTTATTTCATGTGATTAGTGATTCATTTACATTTGTCCCTCATTTAAAGGACAAGTTCACTTTTTTTGATGTACTGGCATAATATAGAAGTGTTCAGACACTTATTTTTGCGATTTCACTTGGTTTTGAGAAACCCCAACAGCAATAGACTTCCTCAGACTCGTTCTCCGGTATGGGGGCCCGTGTGTGAGGATGCCCATGTCATTTCAGTGTGCAAGCATGCGCATGCATTCTCGTATCACCACAATGGGAACGAGAAAGCATGTGCATGCTCGCACACGGAAAAGTATCGCTCGAGTCCCAACAAATGGTATAACGTTTTGGATAAAGTTCGGAATGACACAATTTCATGTGTACAACATCTAGACCTCCATCACTATACTGAGAGCTTTGCCGTTTCTAAAAGGACATATTTGGGTGTTTTTGGAGCCTTTGTTCATGTTTTATCCTTGGCTCCAAAACTGCAGAACAAGCCTGAGGAAGTCTATCACTGGTGGGTTAAGTTTTTCAAAAGCAAGTGAAATTGTATGACAAGTGTCTGGACACTTCTATAAAGTGCCATTTACATCGAAAATTGAGATTTGGTTAAGAAAAAGGGATCTTGACCTTTTAAAGGCCAACCCTGTTACTTGAACTGAACTCTTGTTTTAATATGGTAAAACAATATATATTTTTTTAAATAAGCATTGGACATGTAAGAGTCAAATCATAGTGTAAAAGCAGGCGAGCTGGTTCTACTCTTTTTGGCCATTTTGTGGTAGAAAACTGAACAACCCAGCTACCCATATATAGATGGGCTAGAAATGATTTAATAAGTTCAAGTTTTTTGTTAAGCTTGCTCCTCCCTGTTGCCCCTCAAGGGCACATCAACAGATTTTTTATTTAATCAGCTCGGGGATTCAAACCAGAAACCTTTTGGTTATTGGCCCAGTGCTCTTAACTGCTCATAACCACTTGGCTACCTGCCGCTAACTTTCACCCAAGGTGCAGGAGCCTGGCCCTGGGTAGCTGTAACTACTGCTTACCGTTGATGTTATTCTACCCAAACCCTCAACTCCCCCTCTCCCCAACAACCCCCCACTCACCTGGGTACCCGTAGGAGTCCTTGCGGTGTCTGTTGAAGGGGTCCAGACACAGGGGGGCTACATTCCCCTCCTCTCCAAACAGGCTTGGGGGTCCCACCCCTGCTGCCTCCAGGAAGGGCTCAAACAGGGGGTCCACCGCCCCACCACCAGACCCCTCTGACCGGTAGGTGCTGGAACTGCTGTAGCGGGCTGACGAGCGGTACGAGGAAGAGGAGGAACGGCTGGATGAAGAGCTGGTCAGAGCCATGGTGAGAAGTGGTGTCTAAAAGACACACACACACTGAAACTACAACTCACTCAGTGAGATTATTGTACTACTAAATTGTTGTCAACACACTAAGACAAAGCTGGTGGCTCTGTTGTCATTTAGAATCAGCCCAGATACACTTTTAATCCCTTTTCCCACTGCACACACACACACTGACACTGAGCTTTCTGCTATCGCTCTGGGTGTGATTTAACAAAGCCCAAAGCATTCTGGGAAAGTGGCATGCTGTGGCCCCAACGTGTAGCCTTCTTTTCTCCTTACAAGGTGGTGTCCAGCGATGGTAGCCAGGAATAACAGTAAAAGAGATAAGAATTGAAACCCTCCGCACGCACGCACACACGCACGCACACACGCACACACACACACACACACACACACGCACACACGCACACACGCACACACGCACACACGCACACACGCACACACGCACGTTTGCACACACACAACCCTAAAGTGACATAGAGATTAGTGAGCCAAGGGGTGCACTCAGAGATGTTTTAGGTATGTGGTCAGAGATAACAGAAGGAGAACAACAGGTTGAGAACGTTGTGGGAACGTTGCTTTTTAAACTGTCGTCTGACCATCATTTGCCTGTCCCTCTGTATGTCCTGCTGCATGATTCCATTAGGATTTTTGTATGCTACGCTTGTATGCACTTTATGCCAGTACTTTATTCCAGTACTTTATTCCAGTGCAAAGCTGTTGACTTGTTTATTTGTATCTCTATTAACTGTTACATTAGCATCTGCTCCCCTTCCAGCTGGGATTACATTTGGAGAAATGTTCTGTGAATCATATCTATTATTCATTGAAATCATTCTATAAAATGTCCACGAAAACAAGTTAGTATCATAGCACTTATGACTGTTAAGTCACAATACAATACCCATACGTAGAGTTACATGATTGTCATCTGCTGCCAGATGTTTTACAACTTTTATGACTGTGTTATAAAATGAAAACTTTTCAAAGATGATGTTCTCTCATGTCCAAGCCAGACTTTTCCCTGGAGATATACACCTTATTTGGCTTTTTCCATTGTGCCGATGTGTTTTCTATTATGGTATGTTCTATTGATTGAGAGATAACAGATTTTTCCTATAGGGAATGGCCCTTTCTCTCAGGGAGAGAAATTATTTGTTTACACCATTCCCCACAAGAAAATGACAGGCAGTCAGTGGTACTTTATGATAAGAAAATAGCATTGTCTATTTATGTGTGTGTGTCAGTGTGCGTGTGTGTGTGTGTGTCTGCATGTGTTGTGGATGTTACAGGGGTGAGCTGAGTGAGTTCTGTCCTTTTCAGAGGTAGTAAAGGTTGGTCCTGAGACTGTAAATTGCTCTATAATGATGTGTAATGATCTGAGTTAATCGAAAAGCACATTATCAAATCAAATACATTCTTGGATTGTGATTGTTAAGTGCTTTCCACAAACTCTATGACTTAATTCATCTTCCTTTTTTTACCATAATTCCCTTCCTTCGAGCCAAGGAATCACACAATTATACCAAGTCAGTATGTCATTTTCTTTGCAAAGAACATTAAGGATATTTTATTAAGAACTTCAAATTATGTCAGGTGCAGCAAACAAAGTCCAGGTTATTTTTTAAATCAAGTGGCAATATTCAAAGTAGTACATTCAGCCAAAAGAAAGAAAGAAAGAAAATAAAGCAATTAGAGGAAAATAAATGAGAGAATGGTGATAAGATATGATATATCCGAGGGATTAGAGGTGTGTGTGTGTGTGTGTGTGTGTGTGTGTGTGTGTGTGTGTGTGTGTGTGTGTGTGTGTGTGTGTGTGTGTGTGTGTGTGTGTGTGTGTGTGTGTGTGTAATGGTAGAGATGGAGTTTCACAGTTCTCAGTAAGAGGAGCAACAGGAAGAGGTGACATGGTACTTTCACTCTGGTTCTTATAGTTGTAGTCTTTGTTTCATGGATAGCTTGCTTCTGGCGAACAGTGGGAGACTGAGTGCTCTTGGTATATTGCATCTTCTCACATACTGCATAAAGCTGTTGCATTTCCTTCATCGGCTCTGTATACCAGTTGCATTCAGAATTAAGGGAATTACAGCAAAGTGTGTGTATGCAAGTGTGTTTTAATGTGCGTCAATGTGTCTGTGTGTTTTTTTTTTATGTGTGTGTACGTGTTTAGATGTCCGTGTGTGTGTGCGCACCAGGGCCACGATATTACCTTTGTCACCTCACCGCCCAGTGCACAGGGAATTATGGGTAGTTTTAATTAAGCACTGCTGTGGCGGCAGAGGCTAATGTGGGTTAAACACAGCCCAACTCTGCACTCCCAGCTCTACTCTAATCTGTGAAGATTACACTCTAGCTCTCCAATGAGACGTTTACAGCAGACTGCTGTTGCCTCCTAGTTCTGTATGCAGGGCCAGTAGTGTCTAGATGTTAAACAGAGGGCCTGTAGTATCTAGATGTTAAACAGGTCTGTAGTGTCTAGATGTTAAACAGAGGGCCTGTAGTATCTAGATGTTAAACAGAGGGCCTGTAGTATCTAGATGTTAAACAGGTCTGTAGTGTCTAGATGTTAAACAGAGGGCCTGTAGTATCTAGATGTTAAACAGAGGGCCTGTAGTGTCTAGATGTTAAACAGGTCTGTAGTGTCTAGATGTTAAACAGGCCTGTAGTATCTAGATGTTAAACAGGCCTGTAGTATCTAGATGTTAAACAGGTCTGTAGTATCTAGATGTTAAACAGAGGGCCTGTAGTATCTAGATGTTAAACAGAGGGTCTGTAGTGTCTAGATGTTAAACAGAGGGCCTGTAGTGTCTAGATGTTAAACAGGCCTGTAGTATCTAGATGTTAAACAGGCCTGTAGTATCTAGATGTTAAACAGGCCTGTAGTATCTAGATGTTAAACAGAGGGCCTGTAGTATCTAGATGTTAAACAGAGGGCCTGTAGTATCTAGATGTTAAACAGGTTAGTCTAGATGTAAAGTCGTAGTTCTAGATGTTAAACAGGTCTGTAGTGTCTAGATGTTAAACAGGCTGTAGTTCTAGATGTTAACAGAGGGCCTGTAGTTCTAGATGTTAAACAGGTCTGTAGTGTCAGATGTTAACAGAGTGTCTAGATGTAAACAGGTCTGTAGTGTCTAGATGTTAAACAGAGGGCCTGTAGTTCTAGATGTTAAACAGAGGGCCTGTAGTATCTAGATGTTAAACAGAGGGCCTGTAGTGTCTAGATGTTAAACAGAGGCCTGTAGTGTCTAGATGTTAAACAGAGGGCCTGTAGTGTCTAGATGTTAAACAGAGGGCCTGTAGTATCTAGATGTTAAACAGAGGGCCTGTAGTGTCTAGATGTTAAACAGGCCTGTAGTGTCTAGATGTTAAACAGGTCTGTAGTGTCTAGATGTTAAACAGGTCTGTAGTGTCTAGATGTTAAACAGGTCTGTAGTGTCTAGATGTTAAACGAGGCTGTATTCTAGATGTTAAACAGAGGCTGTAGTGTCTAGATGTTAAACAGAGGGCCTGTAGTGTCTAGATGTTAAACAGAGGGCCTGTAGTGTCTAGATGTTAAACAGAGGGCCTGTAGTGTCTAGATGTTAAACAGAGGGCCTGTAGTGTCTAGATGTTAAACAGAGGGCTGTAGTATCTAGATGTTAAACAGAGGGCCTGTAGTATCTAGATGTTAAACAGAGGGCCTGTAGTGTCTAGATGTTAAACAGAGGGCCTGTAGTGTCTAGATGTTAAACAGAGGGCCTGTAGTGTCTAGATGTTAAACAGAGGGCCTGTAGTGTCTAGATGTTAAACAGAGGGCCTGTAGTGTCTAGATGTTAAACAGAGGGCCTGTAGTGTCTAGATGTTAAACAGAGGGCCTGTAGTGTCTAGATGTTAAACAGGTCTGTAGTGTCTAGATGTTAAACAGAGGGCCTGTAGTATCTAGATGTTAAACAGAAGGCCTGTAGTATCTAGATGTTAAACAGAGGGCCTGTAGTGTCTAGATGTTAAACAGAGGGCCTGTAGTGTCTAGATGTTAAACAGAGGGCCTGTAGTATCTAGATGTTAAACAGAGGGCCTGTAGTGTCTAGATGTTAAACAGAGGGCCTGTAGTGTCTAGATGTTAAACAGAGGGCCTGTAGTATCTAGATGTTAAACAGGCCTGTAGTATCTAGATGTTAAACAGAGGGCCTGTAGTATCTAGATGTTAAACAGGGGGTCTGTAGTGTCTAGATGTTAAACAGGGGGTCTGTAGTGTCTAGATGTTAAACAGGGGGTCTGTAGTGTCTAGATGTTAAACAGAGGGCCTGTAGTATCTAGATGTTAAACAGAGGGCCTGTAGTGTCTAGATGTTAAACAGGTCTGTAGTGTCTAGATGTTAAACAGGGGGTCTGTAGTGTCTAGATGTTAAACAGGGGGTCTGTTGTGTCTAGATGTTAAACAGAGGGCCTGTAGTGTCTAGATGTTCAACAGAAGGCCTGTAGTATCTAGATGTTAAACAGGCCTGTATTTAGGTGACTACAGGCTAAATATTAATATTCTATAGTACATAGAGTACATGGCCAAAAGTATGTGGACACCCCTTCAAATTCCGCTATTTCAGCCACACCCATCCAGACAGGTGTATAAATTCGAGCACACAGCCATGCAATCTCCATAGACAGACATTGGCAATAAAATGGTCTGTACTGAAGAGCTCAGTGACTTTCAATGTGGCACCGTCATAGGATGCCACCTTTCCAGCAAGTCATTTCGTCAAATTTCTGCCCTGCTAGAGCTGCCCCGGTCAACTGTAAGTGCTGTTATTGTGAAGTGGAAACGTCTAGGAGCAACAACAGCTCAGCCGCGAAGTGGTAGGCCACACAAGCTCACCGAGTGCTGAAGCGCGTAGCGCGTAGAAAATCGTCTGTCCTCAGTTGCAACACCCATTACCAAGTTCCAAACTGCCTCTGGAAGCAACGTCAGAACTGTTTGTCGGGAGCTTCATGAAATGGGTTTCCATGGCCGAGCAGCCGCACTCAAGCCTAAGATCATCATGCGCAATGCCAAGCATCGGCTGGACTGGTGTAAAGCTCGCAGCCATTGGACTCTGGAGCAGTGGAAACGTGTTCTCTCGAGTGATTAATCACGCTTCACCATCTTGCAGTCCGACGGATGAATCTGGGTTTGGCGGATGCCAAGAGAAAACTACCTGCCAGAATGCATAGTGCCAACTGTAAAGTTTGGTGGAGGAGGAATAATGGTCTGGGGCTGTTTTTCATGGTTCGGGCTAGGCCCCTTAGTTCCTGTGAAAGGAAATCTTAACGTTACAGCATACAATGACATTCTAGACAATTCTGTGCTTCCAACTTTGTGGCAACAGTTTGGGGAAGGCCCTTTCCTGTTTCAGCATGACAATGCCCCCGTGCACAAAGCGAGGTCCATACAGAAATGATTTGTTGAGATCGGTGTGGAAGAACTTGACTGGCCTGCACAGAGCCCTGACCTCAACCCCATGGAACACCTTTGGGATGATTTGAAACGCAGACTACGAGTCAGGCCTAATCGCCCAACATCAGTGCCCGACCTCACTAATACTCGTGGCTGAATGGAAGCAAGTCCCCACAGCAATGTTCCAACATCAAGTGGAAAGCCTTCCCAGAAGAGTGGAGGCTGTTATAGCAGCAAAGGGGTGACCAACTCCATATTAATGCCCATGATTTTAGAATGAGATGTTTATGTAGTGTATCGCCTCCTCCCACTCGCCACTGCCACCGTCTGACAGAGGGTTTGATGTATTTTTTTTTTTAGAACGGCGCTCTCCCGGCCATGTCTATCACACACACACACACACACACACACACACACACAGTAAGTCACACACACACACACACACACACACTGAGAATCTGGAGCAGCAGTGAGAGCCTCTTTCTGTGATAAGTGCCCAATGTCAGTGCTGGCCTGGAGCAACAGGCCACCCACAGAACGTTGCCACTCTCTCCAATCTCTCTCTCTACACACACGCCTCCCTTTCAAATCCATCTGTGCCGCACTAGGATAGGGACGCTCATTCCCATTGGTTGACGCAGTATAAATCATAGGACATTGATCCAATCACAGGACAGTGGTGCCACCCGGTTACATCACCCGCCTCTTATAGTAGCCACTAGCAGCGTTTTGGGGCAGTTAACCTCAAAAGACTCCTATTAGGACAGAGGGGGAAGGAGAGACAGGAACGATAAAGAGACACATGGCAGGAGAGGATAAAATAAAGAGAGATATACTTCTCCCATTGCTCTACGTGTCCATCAGTTTTTCATAATCGCTCCTTAATTGCCTTTCGGCAAAGGTAGCACTCAGCCCTGCCGTCCCGCAGTTACGTAAGAGAGGGCTCCTGTGAATAAGGACAGGGGGAGGGATAGAAGGAGATGAAAACAGACTGAGGGTGAAAGTTGGAGACAGCAGAAAAAGGGACAGAGACATAGAGGATCATGGGACGAGAAAGGGGAGAGAAATTAGACAGACAGAGAGAGAGAGAGAGAGGGAGAGGGAGAGGGAGAGGGAGAGGGAGACTGAGACTGAGACAGAGCCGGAGACGGAGAGGGAGACAGAGTGGGAGACGGAGACAGAGGGAGACGGAGAGGGAGACGGAGCGGGAGACGGAGAGGGAGACGGAGAGGGAGACGGAGAGGGAGACGGAGAGGGAGACGGAGAGGGGGTGGGAGAGGGAGAGTGTGTGTGACAGCTGTGTTTGAACGAGTTGCCCGGAACCAAGATGTCCGTCACACACCACCAGGGGGTACTTTCAGTGAGTGCGCCATGCAGCCAGACTGGGTGGGACAGAGAACTATGCAACACACGTCACTGCATCAGAACAAAATCACAACCCGGCCGCAAACATCTCCTCTCTGTAATGTCAGTGAAAGGACAGTGACGCAGTGTACCTCCAACTAGATAATACTCAAACCCTCCAATCCTCTAAACACCAGGACAAGCTGAAAACAGATGGAACAGGATCTAACCTTACACAACTCTAGTTACACTTCTAACCCTTGACCTTGTCAAAGAGGAGGTTCACTACCATATGATCAACTTTGTACAGCTGTAATTGAGGCAGATAAAGGAACAGTGAGCAGAGTACTGTTTGTCTAAGTTAATTGAGTTACTAATAAGTGAGAAACTCGTACCCCAAACTGTCTCGTCAACCATGATAAATGGATGCACAGAACAGTGCATTAGAATCAGACAGCATTACAAGACACATTCTAGAAAAACCACCCAGCTGTCATAGTGTCTTTCTAGATATTGTGAATAGTTCTGTGTAGAACCATAATGTAAATGTCAGCATGTTGTGGATGTCAAGTGGATCTATGGCTCTGGCTCAATGGTGGGTTAACGTTTGTCATTGGAGAGAATGAATGGAACTGACCTGACCGTATGACCAATCAGAACACAGGAGGTCAAAGGTTATAAATGAAGGCACAGCCGTAATGGTTTCCCCTGAGTTTAATTTGTGCCTCAGACTCATTCAATCCACCAGTTGTTAGTGTCATCATCAAATAATTAAGTATTTCGTTTCAAATCATGGTGCTAAAATGTATGACGCCACTTCTACTTTTAATCATCTCTCTGTCCTAATGGCAGAAAGTCTAAAACACATTTTTAGTTTCCAAAAAGTGAGAACGGTAATTGGTCTGTTGATGTCCTTTCCAAAAGCACCATGTAGGCCAAGCCTTTCACCTTCAGTCAGAACGCACCATGTAGGCCAAGCCTTTCACCTTCAGTCAGAAAACTGCTATACTAAAACACTGTTTAAAGGGAATCGCTGCATTAGGGTTTTTTGGAGCGGACTCACAAATGCAAGCTTGTTGACCGTGTATTATTTTACCACACGCACACACACACACTGAGGCTTTCCTGAACAATCAGTGAAGGGTTGAAAAGGTGAGCTGAGCACTAATTCTGTGCTTTAATCGCGAATACATTTCCTTACACATACACACAGACACACACACACAGAAGCTCGCTGAGATAGAGGATGAGTGAGCTGTGGCTCGTTGTGTAGGGGCGGGATATACTGACGCTCTGAACCAATGGGACTTCCTGAGTTGTATGAGTGACAGTCCCTCTGACCGAACCAATTTAAGGTTCCTCAGATCACCATGGCAATGGAATGATTTCGATTTATTTACAAAAAATGCCCTTTTCCTGACATCCTTTGAAAAAGAATGGAAAGAGAATAACCGTGGAATTTTGCTTTAGGAGCAGCTATGACAGGAAAGAAAAAAGAGCTATATAACTTTTCCATTGAGGATCATGACAATAACAAACCGTATCACAGTATCCTCTTTCAAAATTAAATAAACCTTTTTTTGTTAATATTTGTATTTTTTTCCCGGTATACTATATCACACAGTGATAACAAAGAAAGGAGAACTCTACAGCCACGTTAGCTTCGTGCAAAAACCACATACACTGGCACGCCTCATAGGCAAAGACTAAAGCAAGACAACGCATACAAAAATATAGAAAATCTCCAATGCAACTCAACACCTCCTCACTGAAAACTAGGTTTCTGTCTTTGTACAACAATTTCTCCACCAAACAGCATCTTTCATCAAAGGGTCAGTTCTGGAACATTCTATTTGTGTTTTTGTCTTCGTTGTTTTTTTATAGAACTATTGGTCTTAAGTCTTCCATATAGGACACCATAGAAACAAAAACTAAATATGGTAGCTATAGTATGTCATTATGATGGTTAGTCATAATGATATCCAGAATAATTATAATAACAACAACATGTTGATTGATAGAAAACTAGTACAATAAAAGCATATCATTTCTGTCAATCATTTGTGACAAATCTTTTTTTGTTTTTAAAATACACATTTCCTGTAACTTTTAAGACATTCCAGCATTTGCTCATAACTGTTGGTGACAGGTTACATACGGTAGTTTGGCATACTCAGCAAGCCATGCCCAGAAGGATGCTAGGGTGTCGCGCTCCCCTGCTCAGACGTTGCATGCATCATCCAATGGTTGCGTGCCACGTCATCGACCGTGCTGTCGGACACCAGATTGGTATAGCATATGATGTGGTTAGCTGATAGGTAAAATACCCATCCAGGCATTGTAAGATCTGGCATGCATCAGCAGCGCCTGGGCAGAGGAACGTGCCCAACATCTCTTGCAAAGGAGAGGAGGGGTTTCAGGTTTCAGGATGCAGTGGAACCTGTCCACCAATGGGATATACTGTATCTGGGTGGGGGCAGAGGAAGGGCGGGGTTATACAGAACAGCCCAAACTACAAACCGACGTGCTCAAGACCAGGTCAGCACACAAGTTCAGTTCAGCACTTGCAAACACATGCAGAGATATTTCAGAGTTTTAAGATTCAGTCTTTTTCCTGTCAGTTGTGTCCCTTTTAGTTTTTAGCAGTCTCTCCTTTATTGTTGTGGGTGGGTGGAGCACTGAACCCTACTGACCAATCCGTGGGCTTCTTACTGAAACCACAGACCAATCATTGGGCTTGTTACTGAAAGATGTGACAGCCAGTCCAGCTCTCCTGCTTCACATTGATAGAAAAGATTGTTTGGACGCCTCAAGACAAAAATATATTGATACATATCAAATCGCCAGGGGGGCAGGCGGGTAGGGGATCGAAATGTTGCGATCAGGTCAAGACAGAGGGGTTACACTGCAGTAAGAGTCATGAAAAAAACATGCAGAGGCCATGGGAGGGACGGAGAGATGGAGGGAGAGATGGAGGGAGAGATGGAGGGAGAAACAATGGATGAAACAAAAATCAATGACAGGGAAGTTATTTGTTTCCCTGCTCTCTCTCCCTCTCCTCCTCCTCCTCTTCCTCCACTTCATCCTCATCCAGAGACACCACCCCGGAGGAGGCTACATCTGAGACCTTCCTGTGGGTGGCATAGTCAGGTGGGAACACCTCGCGCTCTCCTTCTCCCTGGCACACGATGCCCTCATAGTCTTTGCAGGGCGTATCTTCGTCCTCCCCTGGCAACAGGTAGGTCTCGGAGTAGGTCACAGAGTAGCAAGGCGACTCCTCCCCCCCCGGCCGGCCCCTCCCACCCCCCAGGCTGTTGAAGTCCCCTCCCCCTCTAACCCCCTGTCCCACCCTCTGGAGGCGGGCCAACAGCAGCTCCTCCCCCCCTTGCAGGGCCGAGAGGATCTTGGCGGCCAGCTCGGCGGTGTTAGCGTGGTTGTTGCCGCAGTGATGGGTGAGATCTCGCAGTAAGGGGTGTTGCTCATCCAGGCTGTAGAGGCTGGAGCAGAGAGTGTCTGTGGAGGTGGGGGAGGGCCTGTCTCCCCCCTCTCCTCCTGCCCCCTCGCAGCCCGGCCCCCGCAGACCCAGGTGCTGACACACCTGACTGTGAAGAAGGTCCCTCAGGTAGGTGGGCACCTCTGGAGCCAGAGAGGGGGGAGAAGAGAGACAGTGAGTATGCTGAATGACCCTGCCTAATGTCTGACCATGCCTGACGAGGTCAGGTCACGTAGTCATGAAAAACTATGAGCCCTACTGATGAGAGAGCAATTTACTGTTATGGAATGAGAGCAGACACATTAAATAATGAAACTAACTTATCAGGCTAAATCTGGAAAGGGTGGAGGTTATAGGATTCAAGCTGATCCTAGATCTGTGCCTTTGGGGCAAATTCTCAGCCATATACTGTAGTGTTACGGAATACGTCATACTAAATGAAAATAAATGACATTATCAAGCAAAACAAAGCAGTCATATTTGGTGCAGTGAAGTAAGCAATCAGCCTAAAAGCATTGTCGTCCCCAAAATAGATGCGCACACACACCAAACATACACACACATTTATAGTCCACTCACACAGCCAACAAACTCATAGAGCAACCCCCCCGTCTGCAGCAAAGGAATCAAATTAAACTTGCAGGAGGGATCTCAAATTGCGCCGGGGAACAACTTTTTTTGTGAGAGGATGAAAGTAGGGCACTGGGACAATAAGAGTTCCAGACAGCTTCGTCACCACACAGAGAGAGGAGACAGAGAGAGGTGGGGGGGGGGGGTGGGGAGAAAGGACGTGCAGGGCCTGGAGGGTAAAAAGCAGGGGAGGAATAAATGAAGGTGAGAAAGGAGGACCATGCACTCTTCAGTGATACTCCGGTTGTAATAGGGTAGCATTGGCTCAAATTGTGAAGTTGAGAAATTAAGTTGGTATCTTTAGAAGTTTTGGAGGAGGTCTGATTATGATAGAGTGTGTGTGTACAGTACCTGTGCTTTGTGTTGTGGGCTCATTGGCGGGAATGAAGTCCTCATCATATGAGTCGTCATTAGAGTCATCGCCGTCCACGGACGACCAGGCTCTCAGCTTAGCCTCCGCTATGGCAAACTGCTCAGCCACACCTGCACACACACACACACACACACACACACACACACACACACACACAGGTTAGACATCATATTCACAAACATTCAATACACACACAAACACACACAGGTCAGACATTGAGCCCTGTCATTGAGTGCCCATGATGATGCAGGCATATGCTTTTTGATTGACAGGTCCTTTCTGTGGAAGACAGAGTACAGGGATAGACTGACATCACAGCAAGGTTCTAAACCGGAGAGGTCGTAGGTCATACCAACATACAGACATGTTACCTGGATATACAGTACCAGTCAAAGGTTTGGACATCTACTCATTCAAGGATTTTTCTTTATTTTTACTATTTTCTACATTGTAGAATAATAGTGAAGACATCAAAACTATGAAATAACACGTATGGAATCATGTAGTAACCAAAAAAGTGTTAAACAAATCTTCAAAGTTGCCACCCTTTGCCTTGATGACAGCTTTGCACACTCTTGGCATTATCTCAACCAGCTTCATGAGGAATGCTTTTCCAACAGTCTTGAAGGAGTTCCCACATATGCTGAGCACTTGTTGGTTGCTTTTCTTTCACTCTGAGGTCCAACTCATCCCAAACTATCTCAATTGGGTTGAGATCGGGGGATTGTGGAGGCCAGGTCATCTGATGCAGCACTCCATCACTCTCCTTCTTGGTCAAATAGCCCTTACACAGCGTGGAGGTGTGTTTTGGGTCATTGTCCTGTTGAAAAACAAATGATAGTCCCACTAAGCGCAAACCAGATGGGATGGTGTATCGCTGCAGAATGCTGTGGTAGCCATGCTGGTTAAGTGTGCCTTGAATTCTAAATAAATCACAGACCGTGTCGCCAGCAAAGCACCCCCACACTATCACACCTCCTCCTCCATGCTTCACGGTGGGAACCACACATGCAGAGATCATCCGTTCACCTACTCTGCGTCTCACAAAGACAAAACGGTTGGAACCAAAAATCTCAGATTTGGACTCATCAGACCAAAGGACAGATATCCACCGGTCTAATGTCCATTGCTCGTGTTTCTTGGCCCAAACAAGTCTCTTCGTCTTATTGGTGTCCTTTAGTAGTGGTTTCTTTGCAGCAATTTAACCATGAAGGCCTGATTCACGCAGTCTCCTCTGAACAGTTGATGTTGAGATGTGTGTGTTACTTGAACTCTGTGAAGCATTTATTTGGGCAGTTATTCTAATGAATTTATTTCCTGCAGCAGAGGTAATTCTGGGTCTTCCTTTAATGTGGTGGTCCTCATGAGAGGCAGTTTCATCATAGCACTTTATGGTTTTTGCGACTGCACTTGAAGAAACTTTAAAAGTTCTTGAAATGTTCCGGATTGACTGACCTTCATGTCTTAAAGTAATGATGGACTGTCGTTTCTCTTTGCTTATTTGAGCTGTTCTTGTCATAATATGGACTTGGTCTTTTACCAAATAGGGCTATCTTCTGTATACCATCCCTACCTTGTCACAACACAACTGATTGGCTCAAACGCATTATGAAGGAAAGAAATTCCACAAATTAACTTTCAAGAAGGCACAGCTGTTCATTGAAATGATTTCCAGGTGACTACCTCATGAAGCTGGTTGAGAGAATGCCAAGAGTGTGCAAAGCTGTCATCAAGGCAAAGGGTGGCTACTTTGAAGAATCTCAAATATAAAATATATTTTGATTTGTTTTAACACTTATTTGGTTACTATATGATTCCATATGTGTTATTTCATAGTTTTGATGTATTCACTATTATTCTACAATGTAGAAAATAGTAAAAATAAAGAAAAACCCTGGAATGAGTAGGTGTCCAAACTTTTGACGGGCACTGTATATGCAAACACTGCAAATAATTCACACTCAGGTATGTGATTGTGTAACACAAATACACAATCAGAAATGAGAGATCTGTCTCAGATCTGTATGTCACACACGACAGGTAGCCCAGCGGGGTGGCAGGTAGCATAGCGGTTATAGCGTTGGGCCAGTGACTGAATGGTCGCTAGTTCGAATCCTCACGCCGACAAGGTGAGAAATCTGCTGATGTGCTCTTGAATAAGGCACTTAACCCTAATTGCATAACCCACTCTCCGAGGGTGTCTCAAGGAGAGATGGGATATGCAAAAAACACGTGTATTAATACACACTTGTTCATGAAATAGGACAAATATAAACACCCACCAAATTATTTTATTACACACACACACACACACACAGGGGGAGACGGTGACTGTGGGTTTCTCCGTGGCTGAAGTGACTCAGCATGTGACAGAGCCAGTGTTCCACAGAGACGAGCTGACCAATCACCTCCAATCACTGTCACCAGGTAGCCAATCACAAATTACCTCTTTCTCTCCACTGCTTCAAAGGCCTTCCTTTCCTCATTCCTCTCCTCTCTTTTGTATTCCATCCAATCCCTCTCTTTTCTCATTCCTGTCTTCTCATTTATTTCTCCTCTCTCTCCCTTAGCCACATGCCTTGTGCTCCTCTCCTTTTCTCATTCATCTCATTTTATTTTCCTTTACATTTCAATCTCCCTCTTTTTCATCTCATCTCTCTCTTTCTCTCCTCATCCCATTTCAATTTAAATTCTCACTCTCTATTTCCCTCTCCCCTGTTCTCTTCTGTCATGTGTTCTGTATTCATGTGTTGATTCACACAGAGATCGATTCTCTCATTCATATTCTACTGTGGCTCAGCCCTAAACTCAGCCTTCACACACAGGAAGGACTGTCCTCTGACACATACCGCTAGTGTCTTTCTCTTTCTTTAAGTTTCTGTTTCTCATTCTCTTTCTCCATCTTATACACAACAAGGTTTACATCCATTCTGTATACATGTGTGTGTGTGCACGAGCATGTGTATGCTATGGTCCTGCATAGATTGGCTCCTCTCCCAGTCCAGCACACTCCCAGAACACTTTGATGGCATCTACAGAGTAACCCCATGGACCTGTAGCCCTGCCAGCCCTGCCAGACCTGCACATACATACACACACACACAGTAACATTTGACACGCTCACACAAACTGAAAAGTACACCCTTCTATACACACTCTCTCTCACTCTCTCTCTCTCTCCCTCTCTCTCACACACTCACACACACACACACACACACACACACACACACAGTCTAAAGGGTGAAATAAGCTCCTCTAAGTATCGGTCAAGGCTGACAGCCAGACTCCTGCAGGGGATAACCACTATCCAAGATAGTGTATGTGTGTGTGTGTGTGTGTGTATGTTAGAGAGAGAGGCCGAGACAGAGATGTTTGTGTGTGTTGGCACGGGCTGGTCCATCAATAGGACAACCCCACCTGGACACAACCCCCAGGGTACCTCCCATTCAGCTGGCTTAATCTATCCTGAGAGCCAGCAAACACACAAACACCATATACTGTGCATACATAGTCAAAAACCTTCCAAGACATTTACCCTTGTACTCTCTCCCATAATTGAAACCGAATCACTTTGACCAAACATTCATACATTTACACTCTCTCACATACATACACCAATACACAGCTACAGTTGAAGTCGGAAGTTTACATGCACCTTAGCCAAATACATTTAAAATCAGTTTTTCACAATTCCTGACATTTAATCCAAGTAAAAATTCCACTTTATTTTAAGAATGTGAAATGTCAGAATAATAGTAGAGAGAATTATTTATTTCAGCTTTTATTTCTTTCATCACATTCCCAGTGGGTCAAAAGTTTACATACACTCAATTAGTATTTGGTAACATTGCCTTTAAATTGTTTAACACGCTTTTTCAGTTCTGCCCACAAATTCTATAGGATTGAGGTCAGGGCTTTGTGATGGCCACTCCAATACCTTGACTTTGTTGGCCTTAAGCCATTTTGCCACAACTTTGGAAGTATGCTTGGGGTCATTGTCCATTTGGAAGACCCATTTGCAACCAAGCTTTAACTTCCTGACTGATGTCTTGAGATGTTGTGTCAATATATCCACATAATTTTCCTTCCTCATGATGCCATCTATTTTGTGAAGTGCACCAGTCTCTCCTGCAGCAAAGCACCCCCACAGCATGATGCTGCCACCCCCATGCTTCACGGATGGGATGGTGTTCTTCGGCTTGCAAGCGTCCCCCTTTTTCCTCCAAACATAACGATGGTCATTATGGCCAAACAGTTCTATTTTTGTTTCATCAGACCAGAGGACATTTCTCCAAAAAGTACGATCTTTGTCCCCATGTGCAGTTGCAAACCGTAGTCTGGCTTTTGTATGGCGGTTTTGGAGCAGTGGCTTCTTCCCTGCTGAGCGGCCTTTCAGGTTATGTCGATATAGGACTCGTTTTACTGTGGATATAGATACTTCCGTACCTGTTTCCTCCAGCATCTTCACAAGGTCCTTTGCTGTTGTTCTGGGATTGATTTGCACCTTTCGCACCAAAGTATGTTAATCTATAGGAGACAGAACGCGTATGACGGCTGCGTGATGTTTATACTTGCGTACTATTGTTTGTACAGATGAACGTGGTACCTTCAGGCATTTTTGAAATTGCTCCCAAGGATGAACCAGACTGGTGGAGGTCTACAATTTCTTTACTGAGGTCTTGGCTGATTTCTTTTGATTTTTCGCATGATGTCAAGCAAAGAGGCACTGAGTTTGAAGGTAGGCCTTGAAATACATCCACAGGTACACCTCCAATTGACTCAAATTATGTCAATTAGCCTATCAGAAGCTTCTAAAGCCATGACATCATTTTCTGGAATTTTCCAAGCTGTTTAAGGCACAGTCAACTTAGTGTGTGTAAACTTCTGACCCACTGGAATTGTGATACAGTGAATTAAGTGAAATAATCTGTCTGTGAACAATTGTTGGAAAAATTACTTGTGTCATGCACAAAGTAGATGTCCTAACCGACTTGCCAAAACTATAGTTTGTAACAAGAAATGTGTGGAGTGGTTGAAAAACGAGTTTTAATGACTGCAACCTAAGTGTATGTAAACTTCCGACTTCAACTGTACATTACATTCACGGTTTTTCACACAACCTGCAAAGTCACCCAAGCCCAGCTAAAGTTCAAACAGAGACAGTGACGTAGATGAGGAGTCATGTCATGTCAGCACTGACCAGGGTTCTGACAAAGTGGACAGGCGCACAGTGATGATGTAAGAGGAAGTGAAGGACAAGAGAAATAACCCTGGGGTCAGCTGGATGTGATGGTGGGATCAGAAGGGGGTAGAAGTGTTTGCATGCCTGTACAGTATGTGTGTAAAGGGGGCATATTTTGTGATGGTCAGAGGAGAGGAGAGGAAAACAAGAGGAGAGGAGGGACACAGAGAAAAGCGCTCAGTCACGCCGTCACTAGCCAGGAGCAGAACCTTACTGTGCAAATTAACCTTGAGAGGCTGCACTGCAGGGAGGGAGGGAGAATGGAGAGAGAGGGGGGGTGAAAGACAAAGAGGAATGAGGAGAGAGAGGGAACGAGGGACCTAGAGAATAGACAGAGAGACAGATGGAGATAGGCAAAAGAGAGAGGAATAGAGTGAAATAGTAAAAGAGGGCGGCAGACAGGGACAGAGGACAAAAGAGTGGTATAGAAAGAATGGGACAAAAAACAGAGAGAAAGAGGAACATTTCACAAAATTGTAATACCTCAAGTCACTGCTGTAAAAACCATTCTCAGTCATCTTACCTGTTAAAGTAAAACTAAATTATCTTAATGATAAACGAGGTAGGCCTACTGACCTGCAGCGAAGCGTGCCTCCTGTTCTCCCTCAGTGAGGTCAGAGTAGTTGTTGAAGTCAGACTCCAGAGCTGTGGGGGTGTCAGTGGGCTTACACCAGCCCTTCCACTCTATCAGGTGGGCCACCCTGCCCTGGGCCATGCCTGTGGGCCGCGTCACATGGTCCTTCATCGCCTGGGAGATGCCTAGAGGTCAAAGATTAGAGGGCAAGGGTCACATACATGTAAAGTGTAAAGAGTATAGCAGGCAGGATTTGTTTTGTGTGCGTGTGCATGTGTTTGCATTCGGGCGCAATGCTCGTATTTACCATGTAATGAAGATCTGGCTAACGCCGCAATCTCTTGAATGGTAAGTGCTCTTCTCGATTTTGGTAACATTTCAGCGGTGTCTTCAACATTTACCTGTGAAGGAAAAAACAAGCATTAGTGAAGGATGACTCATACACTACATTAATGATGACAAGCAGTGTAGGTTATTATACAGATGCACTGTACATGCTATGACTACCAAGAAATCCATTCAAACTGATCTAAAAGAGCACTCATGTTTTCAAGGCAGAGAAAATACCTGTTTTCATTGCTTTTACACACACAGGTACACGCACAGACACACACACACTGCATGAAAGATATGAAGGGCCATTGCAAGATTATTATGAGGAAATGACAGAACAACCCCCATCCTCTCTACTCTACTCCCTTGGTCTGGTCTGGTCTGTCCTTCCTCTCTACTCTCCTCCCTTGGTAAGGTCTGCAGTGGTGTGTATTCATGGATGCCAAGGGAAGCCAGGCATCCCCAAAAAATTGACCAAGAAAAAAATAGAAAATAATGTATCTTTCGTCACTCTGTGTTTTCATAATTTTCCTTCAATTCGCAAGAGGCTGAATGTATTTCACCGGAGAAAGCATCGGAGCGAGCGAAACAGCGCCCCTGTCTCTGTATGTGTAGGCCATCTACAGGGTCTGATGTTGTCTGGTCATAAAGAGTATGACATTGTTGCCGCCCGTAGCATTGAATGCAATGGAAGCCAGCGAGCATTTGGACTTGTGGTTTTACTTAATTCTCTGTACTGGCTGATGATTATAAAGGCGATTCTGATCCAACCATACATGTATACATTGTTGTGCCCCTGGACTGAGAGGATGAAAGTTCAATATGTAGCTAGATGTAGAAGACTAATGTTAACTAGCTAACGTTGCCCATGAAAGGAAGTTAGGCTAGCGAGCAAGCATTTTAGCCAGGTAGCCTAGGACAACTTAAAATAAAAGTGTACTCTATGACAAGAGTCATAGACCATTTCGTCAACATGAAAGAGAGGAGGATGGCATTGGCGTTTCTCAACAAGTAGGGTGAGTCAACATGTTTTCTCTACGAACATGGACACACACACACAAATCAGAACCATGGTCAACCACATCATATTAAGCTTACATTGATTGGACTAAATTGTTTTTGTTATATTTTAATTGTCACTGTAATAGACTAAACATAGGTGATTTGATGATGTTGAAATGTTGAAGTTGAAATGGTGTTGGAATAGTGGAGGCAGCTCCTGTTTTCTTTGCGACTTGCGGTAACTCTCAGTGGTTCAAAATCAATAGTTGTTTAGCAGTCCGAAAATGTCGGAAATATTAACTTGCTTGACCATGCTGTAGGTCATGTAACTGTTACATGCAATATGCTTTGTGGACTTCACCGGACAGAGGTTGCTCTCCGGTTTTGTGATGAAACAAAGGTGTGGTTGAATTGATTCTGTCACTGTGTCATCTTGTCTCAGCCTTAGACCTATATATTATGGTCGCAAGGCATGTGAATTTACAGGTTATAGAGAAAACAATGCAATTATCACAACACATAGGTTGTGATATGGCTTTTTATCTGGCTTGGCTTCCCAAGTGATTTTACCCATGCACCGCTACTGACGGTCTGCCCATACTGTAAAGTCACACCACAGACATTGTATGCGCATTTGTTCCCCATCGCTTTTTATAGCCTAGCTTGGTCCACGTGTTTATAATGTCGACAGTTAGCTGATCCCATGTCAAGCTAAGCTTGCGCATTGCTAATTCATGACGGTAGAATCATTAGCAGCAGAACGCAATGACACCGTTTTTGGGGCGCTCTAAATACTGAACATTTAGTAACAGCCCTGAGGCAGGGGCCCCGCGAGCTAAAATGTTCCCGCGCTGGCGATTATATCAACCACTATTGAGAGGCGTGATAATCCTCTAGCGCCTCAGAGGAGAGAGAACGAGAGAGCGAGAGGAGCTCCCAGATCACTGAAGAAAAACTGGGAGATATGACATGCCCTCGAGTTTCACATGACCCCGGGGGCCACTGCAGTTTACACCACCGTCACCCCCTCCTTCTACCTCTTCACCCACTTTCCTCTACTGCCCTGCTGAACGCGAGCTGAGAGCTCGGAATGGTGAAGGCATCGGCGGCATTCATCCCCACACAGACGGGTGAAGAGGATGGCACTCTTGTGCTTCACATACACGGACACACACATCCCTTCGGTAAAAGAATGAGGACATGCCCGGTGTGTTACTGACAAGCAATGGGCTAATCTGGCACGGTCTAGTGAACAGACAGAGCAGCAAGGTGCCGAAGTTGCCATTACTCAGTTTAAAATCCCAGACTCGCTTGTGGCATTCGCTGTCGTTTCTGTTGAACCATTGCTTTACCATAAACTCTCTATAGTGACAACAGACCTATGAAGCATTCTCAACACAGAAAAAGAAAGGAAAACATCAACAGCACCGGCACGGGCAGTAGGCTATACATTAATTGAGTAATTGGCATTCCGCGTATCTGCTTGGTGTATTGAACTAACCGGTTTCTCACGGTCGCCTCCAAAACTGCAGACGCAGTGCCACAGGTTTCATAAGAGAACCCACAAACATATGGCCTTCGAACAGGAATGTATTTACAACTACTTCCCTTATTTTAAGATTAATTAAATATAGAAAATATTAAAGTTATATTTGCCAAAATAAACTAGGATGGCCCAATAGTTTGCAAAACAGGTGCCAGAGTGACGTGCATATCACTACAGGGAGACACAGCAATGCCCTACTACAGGCTTTTCAGCACAGGACAGCTCTACTCCAGTTCCTTTGAATTGAATAAACTGAATATGAGGCATTTCTGCAAGTAGACTATGCTGTAACATGATATCACAAAAACAAACGCACGCGCGCACACTGGCTACACGCACAAAGACACCCACATTCACACTTTGCTAGTGGAAACTTGAGCAACGGAGAACCGTTTTCGAAGCACACAGGCGAGGACAGCACACATAAACAGCGGCGTGGCATGTTAGAGAAGAAGGACTCGATGTCCTATTTTCCATGGAAAAGCTGCTCTTCTGCGAGAAAACAAGGGGCGTTGTCACGGATGAAGGAACACTTGTATCACATTTCACTGATGTAAATGAATTTGTAATAATAATAATAATAATAATAATAATAATATGCCATTTAGCAGACGCTTTTATCCAAAGCGACTTACAGTCATGCGTGCATACATTTTTGTGTATGGGTGGTCCCGGGGATCGAACCCACTACCTTTGCTGTGGTCCTCTGTAGCTCAGCTGGTAGAGCACGGCGCTTGTAACGCCAAGGTAGTGGGTTCGATCCCCGGGACCACCCATACACAAAAATGTATGCACGCATGACTGTAAGTCGCTTTGGATAAAAGCGTCTGCTAAATGGCATATTATTATTATTATTATTATTATTATTACAAAATCATTTACATCAGTGAAATAAAGTGTTCCTTCATCCGTGACAACGCCCCTTGTTTTCTCGCAGAAGAGCAGCTTTTCCATGGAAAATAGGACATCGAGTCCTTCTTCTCTAACATGCCACGCCGCTGTTTATGTGTGCTGTCCTCGCCTCCTCGCGACCCTATGCCTGTGTGCTTCGAAAACGGTTCTCCGTTGCTCAAGTTTCCACTAAAGGAGTATTGCTATAGCAACCGATCACCAAGGAACAATTTATCTCAGGATACTTGGATCCGTGATTCGTAGATTACGTCACATGCACCACGGATGGCCACAACACCGCTTATTTTCTGCTGCAACCCCTCGTCTTTTACTCCTCGTCTCAGCTATACGTTCAAATATTCCTCTGGAAGCCCAAAGACTCAAATGCTTTCTATAGGTTTCAGAGGCGACACTGTCTGGTCTACAAACAGATGCGTCGTCTATGCTTGTTGAACGTGAAGAGAAGTCGAGCCGACACGCGTGCACTCGCGGAACTTCTGTCTGGCAATGGGCACGCACGCAAGGGTCTGATACGGTGCTTGAAGGGTCACCAAGGGAAAAACAAGCATAATGGCCCTAGCCCTTCTATTCCATCTCCGAGATATTCAATAGAGCCGTGTAGAGAGAAGAGAGGAGAGAGACAAGAATGGAATATTTTGGCGGTGCTAATCATCTCCTCTTTCCTGCAGCCACGCGCTGGCTCATTGCGAGATCCAGATGGTGCGCACTGATCGATAAAATGAGATGAGACGGATTCATCATTAGCTTTGAGTGAATTATTCCAGCAACCTGCTAACTTCTATTTACTTCTCCATAGCCTGCAGAAGACTGTCAATATAGAGAGATAATATGGACTAAATGGAATATAGAATCTGTGAGCCGGTTCATTGCATAATCGTTTCCACCTCTGGATAGGCCTATACCTGAAATTGTTTAGATATAGCCTAATCATTAGAAAATTGTGCCGGTCAGTAAATAATATGTATACATCGTCACAGAGAGCTACTCCGAAAGGAACAATCAAACCAACCCAATGTCAACGTGGCACTGCGGCCAACCTCCGGGTACAAAGCCAGGCAGTCAGTCAGAAGCGCTGAAGCCTACACAGTAAATGAGACTGCAGCATTGGCCGCCGAGCCGCTGCCGACCCAACCGTCCAACTCTCCTTAGTAGAGCTGTTTAATTGCATTTAGGCCAAGGCAAAAAGGCATTACATTCAGAGCCATTGAGATTCCCATTTGAAAGCTGCATTAAAAATTAATTGCTAATTACTTTGAATGACTTCATATAATAATTAGAAAACTAACTGGTGAACATTTAATGAAAACCAAAATGAAGGAACCCAAAGCGGAATCGCTCGTTGACGGCTTAGTTAATTAGATAATTATTAAACCAGAAAAGGTTGAGAAAATATTTGTATGCTTCACATCGCGAATTACTACTGACTTCTATTATCGGCGATCCCATTGTATTAGACAAACTATAAACGAGCAACACGAGGGTTTATGTAATTGTAGGCCTATTCCAAATAGGCTACTGCAGTTAAAACACAAACATATTGGTGATACAAATGTTCGGTTCAGAACTGCTGCTTTAGGATAATGGAATATGATGTAAACGCACCCATTATAACAGAGATGAACAATGATGTTCCACCTCATGCAGCGCAGTATCGAGTAAACAGTATAGGCCTATTCAATAAGCATTCCTCCAGTGAAAACATCTCCTGTGATAGAGGGTCTCGCATGAATACACAGTGTATGATAGCTGTAGCTGAGCGCCAGGGCCAGGGCCAGGGCCAGGGGACGCGGTGTCAAGTAACTATGTGCGGACCGAGCCAAAAAAATGGTAAAACTGTGGGAATCAGCACCTCGCAGTGGTCCAGAGTCTCTAGGGGTGCGTGGAGAATGAGTCTGCGAGCCAAGCAGGTCCGCATGTTCCCCAAGAGCGCCAGGTCAGACACAGAGTTTGCTTCGCTCCAGTCCACGCGCACTGTAGGACCGTCGACTGCCACCGTCGAAAGGAGAGAACTTATAGGTAAACTGCAAATCACCATGCCTCGAGAGGGACTCAGCAGCCACTGCGGGGGCTAACTCAGCCGGAGCGTTTAGAATCCTCAGCGGGCCCTGCGTGGTATCTCAATGTAGTGTCCCTTAGATAAGGCCGACTATTAACCCCAGTTAAAACCTATTTAGAATAGTAATAAAAACGACAGGGTCCACTTGAAGTGAAATACCACGGAGAGCTATGTGAGGGGGGCTGTCCTCGTGCACATCCACTTTGCAGTCATGCCACGTCATGCAGGCAAGGCTCTTGTCGTTTGTATTTTTTTCAACAATCTAAGCTATAAATAGGTCAGTGTAGATTAGAGGGGGCCCAGTGACCGTCCCTGCTAATCAAATAAAGCAGAGAATATAATATGCACTTCTCTTTATGACAAAATACACCTTTTTATTTTCCACCTAAACACCTCTCCACCTGGCTGCATGCACTTTAACCGCCCTCCATTATGAGTGCCAAGGCACTAACCAATAGGCCTACATGGAAAAGGACTATGGGCACGTCGTGCTCTAGCGAGCTCAAATGCCACCATCCCTTCAGCCAGCTCCCTCAGGCTGGAATTGGCACTGCGCAAAACCTAATTGAACAACACTTCAGAGAAATAGACTGACGCTTACGTCATAACTTGGCACAATGGTGGTACCACTTAGGTAATAGTTTCCACCACTCGTTCGAATACAAAAATGATAAAGATTGTAGTTGATTCTATTTGTTAATCTCTGAAGGATTGACCAAGGTTGCAAAGCAGAAGCACGGAAATGCCCTACAGGTGTTTCAGCACTTGGACAGCTCCTAGTCACAGTGCACTGTGTGATCGCCGTTTTCAATGGGTAGGCTTGTGGGGATGAGTGCAACATGACTAGATAATCAACCATGCAACTGCCAATAATAAATGACAAGTGCCATTTAGTATCAGTTGCTTACAAAAACCTCAGTCTCTACTGGATATTTCCTTTCAGTAATCAGAGTGGGTCTATAATGTCAAAGGATAGCTTCTCTTTTTCTCTTCTCTCAGAGAACAGTTTCTAGTTACAGCATGTGAAAAGAACAATTCTTCGGTCGATTAGTCGCCGGCACCCATCTCTGATATTGAGCCCAATATATCTGGCCTCATCACTCACGAGCTCAAGTTGCTCGCGCCAGGAGGATTCAATATCTGCCATTTAATTGGATGTGTTGGGATCAAATGCCTCGGGGTGTTTTGTATCTGGGAATCCATGGCTCGCTCACTAATTAAAGTATTGTTCGGAGGGGTGATGGATGCACGCGCTGTTTTGTAAATTAGATTCATGGATGGGGCTTGGAAGGCGTTGGTTTGTCATTTGAGCCGATGGCCGCTGGCTCCCTTTTGATGTGTGTTGATTTCCAACCCTCACACACACAGATTGCTGTGGGGTAGACGAGCCATGCACTGCGCCCTCTGTTACCCCCCTGGATCACACAGAGAGAGACACACACCTCAGTTCCCGTTTCTATGACGACCGAATCGACTTGATGCTGGGATCGTGTTGGTGAGAATTAGCAAACCAATAAACACAAATAGCCTACCGACCGGCACCACTGCCGAGCTAAATTCCAATATTTACATGTCTAATATCTGCCAAGTAAACAGTGATTTTCACTTGCCTTTGGAATGAGAAATGGATCAGGTTATGACCTTTTTTTATCACAGTAGTAGCCCCACAACACAAACAACATGTAGGCCTAATGTATAAGGCCTATTCAAACAAATGAATCAATCAAAGGCAAAGCCGCATCGCTTATGTGATCATGTCTCATGGCAACCTCGAGGATTCCATAAAGGCGCAAGTTCCTGGTCCATAGAGCAATGCAATGAGGACCAATCTGTAAAAAAAAAAATATATATATATATAGCTAGGACAAAAAAAAGATAAAAAGATTCTAAAGCCTATGTAGCCTAGAGAAAACTAGGGGGGAAGGATATGATTTAGAGCGTTGTAATCTTATAGGCATAGCCAAGGATTTTTGTCGATTGTCTTCTCCTTACAATCGGCAAATTGAAAAGCTATCGACTTCAGATTGTGCAACAGTGTCTCTGCCGCCGCGCGTATCGAGAGGCTCGCGGACATCCGTCATCTGTGCACAATACGATTACATTGACATGTCACAGTCCTGACAAGTGCTGATAGGCGCTCTGAGGATGATAGCACAGTAGCCTACAAGCCATTATCATCAACAAGGGTCTGAAGGAGCGATGACTTGATAGGCAATTAGAGGGCCTGGCTTCCAGATTTACAGGCATATCAAATACATCATCCCTGGTTTGTTTATATTGCTAACAGTATTGTATTTCGCTTGCTGTGGTGTGTGTGTGTGATTACATGGCTGCGTGCACTGATGGATGGATGTGGGGGGCGTGTGATTTATCGCTTCTGCAAGGCCCCATCAAATGAATTCCCAAGACCGAGCGAGGGACAGATCGGTGGGAAACACCAGTGAAGAGGAGACTGGAAGGCACGTAGAGCTTCATCGACTAGGCAACAGACACTGAGACAGACAGACAGACAGGGGAATCTTGTAACCAACCAGCCGGAGAACATAACAACTGCGGTGTCAACCGAGGAAGCTTGTCTCTCGGAAACAGCAAATCAGTCTGTGGGCTATGTAGCCTATGCCCCAACACACTGATATATTTTATTTAAATTATGCGTTTCCGGACGAGGGTAGCCCCCTATTTCTTAAAAAGGACTAATTACAGCTTAGTCAAATCAACGATCTTATGATATATGACGGCTATAAAGCCATGTCTGTAGGAATAGCTCTTGGAATAGCCCGGATAACATCAAGACAGAAAGCGTAGATAAGAGCAATATGCCGTCTTACCTTGCAGCTAAACTGGGTCAATGCAGTCAAAACCATGGTGCCGGCCGGAAGAGTCTTGTCATTCAAAAATAAAACCTTCAGCTCCGCATCCTTTAACAGCAGAAAAGCACTTCACTCTCTCCTGCCTCGCGCGCCCACCAAAAAGCTATGAGATCAGCTCTCGCCGCATCTTGATGCGAACACTCCCTCCTCATCTCCTGCAGCTCCTCCAGAAGAAAGCTCCCTTCTCTCCCTATTCTCAACTGATTGACTATTGTCAACAGATTTCTGGTCTATCTAGAAATCTCTCATCTCAAAGATAAAAAAAAGGTTTACAGTCTAGTTCAATACACAAACGACTCTTACATTTTCCGTGCACAAGATTTCACAAGCACCAAATTCACACCATTCGTTTTATGCAGAAATCAGGCTGTCTGGGACGTGCTATTAGGATCACAACAAAATTGAAGAACTCTTACCAACTGGCGTTTTGGAACCAACACAGCCCATTTCGTTCTTAGACGAGTAGCCTAACCTACACCTGTTTTCCTTCTGCAAAAAAGACCTGAGCGTACCTTATAGATCTGAAATCTCTCTCTCCCCGGAGTCTTCTCTGGGTTCCGCAAGGATACGGCGTGCTGCTCACACCCCTCGAGTGACGCCGAGGGCGGGGAAAAGTCCGACCCTTTCGTCCACGTTTTCACTTGCTTTTTTTTGTTAGTGCTTGGCTTTCTTGTGAGTTCTGTATTTTCTATATGGCTTCTGTGTAGTCTTTGTACAGTTTTATCATTACAATATTCATCTATCTTCCTGTAGCCTAACCGAACCCCTCTCTCCCTACGTCACTGAGGGAAGGATCGATTCTGGCGTTTCAGCACCACTGTGGCTGGACAGCGCACGTCTGCTTGGGCTCGGAGGCGGCGGCAGCAGCATTGGCTTCACGCTCCGCTGGTGGGGGTTCCCCCCTCGTTTTCACACTCCAGTGAAATCCACACACCAGCACGGGGTCGCCACGCGTCTTCGTGTAGCTCTAGCCTACTAGCGTCATTCGACCTTGGCTAGAAGAGTTGCAGGTTGCATTGGTATAAAAATCCCACGCGAAAACTACCTTTATACACCAGGTCGAGTTTCCACCTCCCCTTTCCCTCTACTGGACGCGGAAAGGGATCTGATTGGAGGATGTCACCGTGTAAGTACCAGCGTATTTCAGAAAGGGTGAGGGGCTAGAAGTGGAGAGAGAAATAACTGATGTTCTCAATTAAAAGTTGCATTTCTCAGCAGATGCGATTTCAGTGAGGGCCTCTGATAGCCCACTGAGATAACTTATTACAATTTATTAAACTGAAATAATTGATCTAACTCACCTCCTGTGGGTAGGGTCTAGTTAAAGATGCAAGGCGTGATTACAATTTTACAAGCATAGCTTTTAAAGATGAAAACGTATAATTTCCTGCCCTTCAGTCTTTTCATGAAAGAATCCGGAATCAGGAGTACATTTAGGTTATTCTCGTATTTGTGCCGACATCTTATGGACAAGGACCCCCCTCCCCCCTATTTTGTTATTCAGTGTGTGAAAAGTTAAAGACATAGACTATAATAGGTCTACGGCCAGCCGGCAGGTGGTAAAGACCATGCATAGACATGGTTAGGCTATCAATCAATCACATTTATTTATAAAGACCTTTTTACAACATCAGTTGTCACAAAGTGCTTATACAGAAACCGTGCCTAAAACCCCAGAGAGCAATGCAGATGTAGAAGCACTGTGGCTAGGAAAAACTCCATAGAAAGGCAGGAACCTAGGCTATGTGCTTTGCATATTGCTTAGCCTATAGGCCCTATTTGGCAGCGCACAAAGCATTTAAAAGCAGGCCTGCATTGTATCATCTCCATTCCTCTTCTCTCTTAAACGCCCACCATGACGCTAAACATAGCCCGCTCGAGCTGCTGCTGCTGACCCACGCACCTGCTTCTTCTAATGCGCCTGCCTGCCATTATCTTTTCACGGAAAGCGCTCGTAGGAGGTGCAGCTCCTACCAGGGATCTAAAGGGGTGAAAAATACCAAGTAAAAAATAACCTAAATAAATGCGTGGTATTTCGATGGAAATGAGAAAATAAAGCAGTGAGGCGCCATAACCTTCGGGTCTGGACTATTTCAGGACCATGGACAGCGGTTAGCGTGAAGTAACAGGCCCACGCCAATTGTAAGGCCATAGTGATTTAATCAGGCCTGCCTGGCCTGAGTAATGAGGAAACTCCATATGTGGTACTATATTGTATTGGACAGAAGTATTGATGTGAGAAGCCATGCATTGCAGGGAGGGAGGACACAGTAATGGTCTTTCGCGCTGTCTCTCTAATATAGGGCCTACTATTTTTCTCTTCCTCCTCTCTCTCTCTCTCGCGCACACACACACACACACACACACACAAAATGTACAGGGACATTTGGAAAGCTTTGCTGGAGGGGGTCTAATAGACTTATCAGGATGACTACAACAACAGCAGCAGGTGCATGGCTAGCCTAATTAGGCATCGCGCTGTGGTGGTCTACCTCTCTGCCCTTCTCGCCCTGAGAGCGAGGAAACATTTACGGTCGTTTATAAAAATCACTAACTCTAGCCAAGCGAAACCTATCTTAGAGTCACTATGGGCGGCGAATGCGGTGCCGCTGCAGTTCCAACATGGTGCGGTGGGATTGAGCAAAGAGTCAAAATAGGCATACATACTCAGATCTGTGGCAAGCTATGCCTATGCTAAAGTAGGCCTATTGATAGGATGAAAGCACCGCTGTAATTAGAGCAGTACAAATTAATGTTTTGTCAATCAGCATTCAGGTCTTGAACCACCCAGTTTATAATATGATTTTAGTGGCAAAGCAGAATTTAAAAAATCGAAATATGAAGTACACTCCCAGCCCCAAGTCCAATAGGTATATCCTCTGGCGTGTTAATGTCCTCTGTAGGCTATCCATAGCCAGAATGATTTTGCAGTGCATCGTGATCAAATAGGTTTCCTGTTATATTCAGAGGTGTAGGGAGGGTGAAGGTTATGCATACAAAAAAACATATAATTATACAGATGATTAACAAAACGTGCACAGGACAGTATTCATATCTTGGTTTTTGTGGTAAAAATTATGTGAATGAAAAAACTTCACTTTTGACAACGGTTTTCATAGACATATATACCTTGTCCATAATGTAGAGGCCTCTGGGATCTTCACTGAAGAGGTCAGGGGGGAGGAAGATGGCTGCTGTGACTGAGTCCTATAAGGTTTTAGAGAAACCATTCATTCAAATGAATTGTAGATGATGCATGTGATCTGCATAACATTATGAGACAAACCAATACCAATTGTATAGCCTACCTTTGTGTGCCTCCTCGTCAGTATACCTGCAGGCACAGACACACAAATAAGTGAGCAGTTCAGTCATCTGTGCCCAAAGCAGCTACATCCTTCAACATATTCTTACCTCTTTGTTGATTCATATCCATTGAATTGTGTCCATTTTCAGAATTTTTTAAAAGGGAGAACATTTCAAATAACTCAGCCATTTGCACAAATATGAAAAGATAGATGGTATCATCATAAAACAATATAATTTTTGATCATAAAAGGAGAAACCTTACCTTAAATTGAGATCTTTCAATTTTTCAGTTAAGTGCCTGCACCTGCTGTCTTCTCAAATTCAAATCAAAATATTTCAGTTGGGCAGTGAGGTTCCTGCAAGAACCCCCAAGAACTAAAGAGGTTCCTCGATTAACCCAACCTCCTATGGGGTTCTTGGAATAACCTTTTGTGGGCATTTTTCACTGCCAAGAACCCGAAGGTTCTTCAAGGAACTTAGAAGAACCCTTGTTGAACCCATAATTTTTTTGAGTGTAGACTCTCATTGTGTATTTTTCCCCCTCTATACCCCCTTCACCCTCCTTTGATACCTATTTTCCTACCTGTCCAATACCATACACCCACCGTTGAACAATCTGTCTCGATTTCGTAACATATAATATTTGCAGAAACCTGAAGTTATCACACACAACACGCCGCAGAGCTGATTTCTTTGTGTTCTAGCGGCACCAAAAGGCCGTATTGTGTAACAACACCTGAGTTGAGAGAAGGCCTGTTGCGCGGTGCAGAGGAGTGATAAGGCATTAAGCCAGACGCACATAATTGATTTGCTTAACCTCTTAAGGACCGGACACTTTTTTTCAATTTTCGCCTAAAATGACATACCCAATTCTAACTGCCTGTAGCTCAGGACCTGAAGCAAGGATATGCATATTCTTGATACCATTTCAAAGGAAACGCTTTGACGTTTGTGGAAATGTGAAATTAATGTAGGAGAATGTAACACATTAGATCTGGTAAAAGATAATACAAACAAAAAAACATGCGTATTTTTTGTTCCATCTTCTTTGAAATGCAAGACAAATGCCACAATACAATATTGCAGTTTAGGCGCAATTTAGATTTGGGCCACTGCTGTATGCGGGAACTGTGCTTCTGTAGAGGTAGGGGAGCTAGCAGGCCAGAGGTGGATGAACGTAGTGCCCTCGTTTGGGTGTAGGGTCTGATCAGAGCCTGAAGGTAAGGAGGTGCTGTTCCCCTCACAGCTCCGTAGGCAAGCACCATGGTCTTGTAGTAGATGCAAGCCTCAACTGGAAGCCAGTGGAGTGTGCGGAGGAGCAGGGTGACGAGAGAACTTGGGAAGGTCGAACACCAGACGGGCTGCGGCGTTCTGTGCTCTTATCAGAGGAGCATACAGGGGTGAACTAAAGGTCAACTAAAAGTCACCAAGAGAGAACAGAGTTCTAGACAATTACACCTCTACAAATCCATTAGGATTCAATCGTAATTCTTAGTTGATTGTGACAAGCTAGCTCCCTCACTTATAAAATATGTCTGCATCCCAAATGTCACCTTATTCCCTCTATAGTGCTATATTTTTGACCAGGGCCCACAGGGCTCAATTCTGTTGATGAGGTTTGAACCTATATCAGCAGTGTGTGTGTGTGCAAAGTTTCAGATTGATCCAGTGAAGCATTGCAATACTGGACTATTTTGTACCAAGTCTGCCGAATTGGTTAATTGATACATTTTCAAGTACATAACTATAGAGAACATACAAAAATGATATGGTAATACAAAATGTAAGTTTACACACTCCCAGGAATGTCATACATGATGGATCATTAGCTTATACACTAACTTTCACACATCTAGATGGCCTGGCGAGGTGGGTGTGGAGCCAGAGACAGCAGGGGTTCAAACTGTAGAACCCAGTTCCTACATTTGAATATAAAAGTGGATTTTATCAAACAAAACTATGCTACAACTTATCTCTGGGACCCTTAGGATGACAAATCAGAGCAAGATTATTGAATGTAAGTACATTATTTACCTTCAGAGGTGAATGTAGCTCTGGATAAGAGCGTCTGCTAAATGACTAAAATCTAAATGTAATGTATCAAACCAGTTGCCTCAAACAATAGCATGGTATTTTTTCACTGTAATAGCTACTGTAAATTGGACAGTGCAGTTAGATTAACAAGAATTTAAGCTTTCTGCCCAAATAACACATGTCTATGTCCTGGAAAGTTTGCTGTTACTTACAGCAGTCATGCTAATCACATTAGCGCACGTTAGCTCAACCGTCCCGTATTACATTTACATTTACATTTTCGTCATTTAGCAGACGCTCTTATCCAGAGCGACTTACAAATTGTCATCACAGTCGTATTGGCACTGAAAGGTATAGATAGTTAGACATAAAGCTGGTGCTAAACTCTAACATCCTGCTTAGTGACCAATAAAGGAGCTGCTATAGATGGAGAAGGGATGTTATTGGTGCCAGAAGCAGACTCAGTCAAGACAGCCAATAGGCTACAGATGGGGACATGCATGGCCGTTCAATAGTTACATTTGGTGCATTACCCCTCCCCCCCCCCTTCCCCTGTACTGCTGTTTGGAAGCAGGTTGAGACTAGGTGAGCCATGCATTGAGTCTGTATATGGGACACCGATCCCGTAGAGGTTAAACTATATTGCAAATCAATTAATAATAATAATATGCCATTTAGCAGACGCTTTTATCCAAAGCGACTTACAGTCATGCGTGCATACATTTTTGTGTATGGGTGGTCCCGGGGATCGAACCCACTACCTTGGCGTTACAAGCGCCGTGCTCTACCAGCTGAGCTACAGAAGACCACAATGCTCAATTAAATGCTCAAAGATCCAACTAATAAGCTTGATGAATTGGCTAGGCTGAGGAAAGGCTACACAAAACACACAAGTAGTCTACATTTATTTTCATTGTGGTCCTCTTATTTGCTCGACAAGTAGCCTACGCTCATTGTGGATTATACAATTACACATAAATACAATGTCAATAGTTTGAAGGGTGTCTACAACTACAAGGGAATGATGACCCGATGCTTTAAAAATAAGAGAAAATTGGGTGCAAGGAGGGTCATGTCACTCGTAATAACCAAATTCTGCAACAGCTGTACAAAATAATTACCATAATCTGTCATTATTGGACGGAAATAGGTGATCTTTAAATATTGTGCATTATTAATGGCCTGCTGTAGTAATGTCATCAAACACTTGCCGCCCTCGATCCTCAATTAGCGATGCAGATATTAGAATAGGAGATCAAACAGCTTTGGCCGCCAGGAGGGAACTAGTCATTCCCCAATCCTAATCCTTCTATGGTTTCCTCACACCGCTAAACAGACAGACCTACAGCACTTTTCTCTAACTAACCAATGTGTTATTATTGACTCAGAGCTGAAATGAAGACAAAGTTGGCAGAACGGTCATCTTTTAGTCCATATTCTTTTTATTAGCAGCAGTAGTAGTGATGAGGATCCTGTTGGTGTGTTGAGGTCTACCTTCACAGTGCCTGAGGTCCCGTCCCACACAGCCAGCGTAAGCCATGGCATGGGCCAGGTAACTCTGCTCCTGGACCCCGTGGAAGAGGTGGGCCATGGGGCCGCACCACCACATCCTCTCCACCATGGGTCTCAGTGTCCAGGGGCACCGCAGACAGCTGCACGTAGTCCTTCGACTCTGACCAAGAGAAAGAGAGGGGGAGGTGAGAGGTGAGAGGAGAGAGGTGAATACATATGTAAATGGTTAATACATCTGTGAATATGGACTGGAGAGATAAACATGCAGCAGGAGTGATATTTATCAAGAAGGTCACAGGAGAAGGGAGGAGAGTACAGAGAGGAAAGCTATACAAGAACAGAAGATAGTTTTGGTTTCTTACTTGTGTCCACTTTACGGATGTCAGGGCGCTTGTTGTCTACGACTTTGTATCCAGGGCCGTTTCCATACATTAGGGTTGTGTAAGGCAGCATATCCTTCCCATACAGAGGAGATTTCCCTGTGAGAGAGATCCACAGCAGGGCTAATCACAATTTAAAGGTCTCACACACACACAGTGAGAGAGGAGCGTGTCCCGAGGGAGCTAGGGGTCGAGCAGGATGTTGAGTCGCCAGATGAGGTACTAGACTCTCCAGCCCCTACTGATGAACTGCTTAGTGTTTCACTACTGCATTAATCACCAAGATCTGGGAGGCTGGACCACTGGAGAGCCACAGAGAGAGAGAGCGAGAGAGAGAGAGAGGGAGAGGGAGAGAGGACTGAACAATGGGGAGCCACAGAGAGGGAGTGATGGAGGGAGGGAGAGGCAGAGAGGGGAGGGAGGGAGGGAAGGAGAGAGAGAGATCTAAGCTGTTTGTTTTCCTTTGTAATTGCAGGGGAGAGGAAATGTCAAAGTGCCAGTGGCATCTCCCAGACGGAGGCTGAGGCAGTCTAGTGGAGCACACCACCACCACCTCTGAGGTCATCACAGCTGTGAGGGGTGCAGACAGGGTCTCTGTGCAAAAAACGAATGTTAGGCTATTTTCCTGCAATTGTGCCGTTATTATGTGTCAGATGTTAAGACTACAAACCGTTATAAATGGCCTATTTGCTAGATTGACTTGTAATTTCAATAGGCATAGGCTACTGACTAAAATCTGGGTTTCTAATTGCCATTCAACTTTGCCATGGTTTGCTGAGCTAGATGCAGGCAGCCTATAGCCCCTTATAGGCCAACATCTCATTTCAGGGAAAAGTCCACAATAAAACTGACATTACATGTCACGTTCGTTCATAGACGGGTCAGACCAAGGCGCAGTGTGATATGCATACATGTTTATTTAAACTTAATAAACACTCGACAAAACAATAAACGAAACGAAACGTGAAGTCCAAGGTAGACACAAACAACATACCTTAGACGGAACAAGATCCCACCACCCACTAGTGCCAATAGGCTGCCTAAGTATGGACCCCAATCAGAGACAACGAGCGACAGCTGCCTCTGATTGGGAACCACACCGGCCAACATAGATCTAGAATTACTAGACTATAAACATAGATCTACACCACATAGAAAATCACACCCTGACTCAACAAATAAGAGTCCCCAGAGTCAGGGCGTGACAGTACCCCCCCCCCCAAAGGTGTGGACTCCGACCGCACAACCTTTACTTAACAGGGTAGGGGCCGGATGGGCATTCCGCCTCGGAGGCGGATCCGGCTCCGGGCATGACAACCACCTATTCTCCGCCTCCCTGTTGCACCCCTGGTCTGGTCTGGACCTCGGCGCGCTGCTTCCCCTCTCCTTCCTCCCACAATACTCCAAGCCCTGTCTGGACCCTGGTGTGGGAGACCCCGAACCTGGAGAGGGGCTGACGTCTGGGTCTGGACTGGAGCCGCTGACCGGAGCTGGACTGGGCACCGGTGGAGCGGACTACTCTGGCTCCGGAGTGGAGCCGCTGACCGGATCTAGACTGGACCCCGGTGGAGCGGACTGCTCTGGCTCCGGAGTGGAGCCGCTGACCGGAACTGGATCAGGCACCGGTGGAGCGGACTGCTCTGGCTCCGGAGTGGAGCCGCTGACCGGAGCTGGACTGGACCCTGGTGGAGTGGACTGCTCTGGCTCCGGAGTGGAGCAGCTGACCGGAGCTGGATCAGGCACCGGTGGAGCGGACTGCTCTGGCTCCGGGCTGGAGCAGCTGACCGGAGCTGGATCAGGCACCGGTGGAGCGGACTGCTCTGGCTCCGGACTGGAGTTGCTGACTGGTGCCGGACCAGGCACCGGTGGAACGGGCACGGGCCGTGCCGGACTGGACACACTCACCACTGGTCTGGTGCGAGGAGCAGGAACAGGCCGGGCTGGTGACGCGCACCACTGGCTTGGTGCGAGGAGCAGGAACAGGCCGGGCCGGGCTGGCGACGCGCACCACTGGTTTGGTGCGAGGAGCAGGAACAGGCTGGGCCGGGCTGGGAACACACACCACTGGTTTGGTGCGAGGAGCAGGAACAGGCCGGGCCGGACTGGCGACGCGCACCACTAGGTTGATGCGAGGAGCAGGAACAGGCCAGGCCGGGCTGGGAACACGCACCACTGGTTTGGTGCGAGAAGCAGGAACAGGCCGGGCCGGAATGTGGAGGCGGACTGGAGGTCTGGAGCGGAGAGCTGGCACAACCCGTCCTGGCTGAATGCCTACTTCCGCAAAGTATGTGTGAGGCATCAGCACAGGACGTACTGGGCTGTGCACGCGCACTGGCGATACAGTTCGTAGAACTGGCGCAGGATATGCGGGACCGAGGAGGCGTACTGGAGACCAGGAGCGTTGAGCCGGCACACCCCGTCCTGGCTGAAAGCCCATCTTCGCACGGCACGTGCGTGGTGCAAGCACAGGACGTACAGGACTGTGCCGGCGCACTGGCGACACAGTACGTAGCTCCGCATAACACGGAGCTTGCCCAGTCATACGCTTCCTCGCGTGAGTACGGGGAGTTGGCTCTGCTCTAACCCTAGGCTCCGCCAACCACCCCGTGTGCCCCCCCCAAAATTTTTTATTGGGGCTGCTTCTCTGGCTTCCTCCTCGACCGGCCTCCTCCGTGTTGCCGTTGCATCTACCTTAGCCCATGGTCCTTTCCCTGCAAATATCTCTTCCCATGACCACAAATTGCCCACCTGTGACATGGCTACTCTCTCCGCCTGGGCACGCTGCTTGGTCCTCGTTTGGTGGGATCTTCTGTCACGTTCGTTCATAGACGGGTCAGACCAAGGCGCAGCGTGATATGCATACATGTTTATTTAAACTTAATAAACACTTGACAAAACAATAAACGAAACGAAACGTGAAGTCCAAGGTAGACACAAACAACATACCTTAGACGGAACAAGATCCCACCACCCACTAGTGCCAATAGGCTGCCTAAGTATGGACCCCAATCAGAGACAACGAGCGACAGCTGCCTCTGATTGGGAACCACACCGGCCAACATAGATCTAGAATTACTAGACTATAAACATAGATCTACACCACATAGAAAATCACACCCTGACTCAACAAATAAGAGTCCCCAGAGTCAGGGCGTGACATTACATGTGGAGCATTATACATTTGCGATACAGCTGTGACCATGATCACATTTGACAATTTTCAATTTAATGAACTAAACAGGGCCATTAATAATTGCATAATAACACAAGGCTACAACAACAAACTGGGTTATAGGCTATTTATTACATCTGTTTGCCAGCTCCAGGTAGGCTACACAAGTGGCAAATTGATTTGCAATGACTCCAGTGATATCGTCATTTCAATATATTTATTGTATCAAATGGTAGGCTACAGTAGCCTACAATGGCATAGAAATTAATAGCCTACTTGATGGCCAACAGATGCAAAATGTACCATATCATTCGCCACATTTATTGTCATTTTCATTGTGGACTTTTTCCCATAACAGAAGCACGCGAGGGAGTTCCATAACTTCCATTTCAAATGTCCACTTGCGCAGCACTCCAGACCCTTGAACTGAGCATGAGTAAAACCCCTCACTTGACATGGTTTTCCATAAGAAAATTCGACATTAGAATGCAGTTTACTTTAAACCACCTCTGAGCAAATTTATCTAAAGAGCTGTAGTGCGCCTAAAGTTGTTTTCCAATGCTTTGTCACCGTTATATCAGTTCTAGCGCGTTAATATGTTGCAATTTAGAAGTAGCCCAAGTAGTCAGTTTCAAAGTATCACAATTTGGTCAGAAAACTGCAAACATGGCAACCCTGGGTGCAGAGCAGGAAGGTGGGGGGAGAGGTGGCAGAATGAGGACGTCCTGTCCACAGAGGAGAGGTGTGTTTTTGTATGTAAAGGGGGGAGAGATTCTTACTGCTTCACTACATAAGCGCATTACTAAACCAATGCAACATGACTATTGATCATTTCATACATTTAGCATGACCTGACCCAAACATCTAATCATGGAACCACTGAAAACAGTTGACCAAGCATCACTTTAATTATAGAAACACTGTAGTGGAAAAGCCCTATAATCAGAATGAGGACTACAATAACCAACTCTAACTCTATGGGGGAAACATCAACCATAATCCATGCAGAAAGTTGTTTCTGTGAGGTCGTTGCTTACCCAGAATGCTTTGCCCTCTGAAGTGGTATCCGTTGAAGGTGAAGGCGTGGGAGTGGTCAGCTGTCACCAGGGTGAGCGTCTCCTCCTCATTGGTCAGCTCCAGGCCCTTGGCGACAGCGTTGTCAAAGGCAACCGTCTCGTGCAATGCCATGGAGGCTCTGCTGGCATGGTGGCCCTGGTCGATACGCCCACCTGACACACAGAGAGAGAAAGAGAAGGATGAAGTTACCCATAAACCCTGATCTAAGCTCAGTATTGTGGTGTCATCTCTAATGATTTAAGGTTAAGATTGGGGGAAGGTAAGCTGACCCTAGGTCTGTGTGTAAGGGACAAGGAGTAACGTTGAAATAAAGTTGAAATGACACTACTACAAGTGTAACTTAGCCAAGTAAAACCCACGAGCTCCTCTTCTCCTCATCAGTGCAGTCAGAAAGTGGAGAGAAGTTGGGCTAATATGTTGGGTCCCCAGGGAGCAGGAGGAGAGGGTACGGTGCACCATATGCCCAGCTCTATTTAAAGCCTGCTGCGATGTGTTATTTAAAACCCATTGTTGAAGATACAAGATGCTCAACAGAACAATCAGGTCCCAGGGTGGTGCCTCAGATTGAAGGTAGGATGGATGAGGGCCTGGGTCCAAGAGCCACCGCTGTGGAACAGTAATATGTCGCATCACAACATAATGTTTCCCCTCCTCACACTGCGGCAAACACATGCAGATCCTACTACAGTCTGCAGATACATGTAGTGCACTGCAGTCCCAAACTGTCTTGCTGAGAGGCATGCAGAGCATCAGCACCACAACTAACTAACCTCTATATTGACTCAAGATACAAAAATAAGGTTACACACACTTTGAAATCAATGCATCTTGGTGTTCAATTATATAAGCAAGTGGTGTGATTATTCGATTAATAGATTGATTCTATTTTAACAAACAACCGTGCACCTATTTTAAGGAGGAACCTCTTGGGATTGGGTTAATTGATGGATTCATTGACTGACAGCTTGGTTAACCCTTTGCTCACCTTCCACCAGGAGAAAGAATCTCTTGGGGTTTTTGTTGAGTACGTGTATGGCCTTTTCTGTGGTCTCAGCGATGGACGGGTCCATGGTGGGGTCTCTCTCCACGTCAAAGCGCAGGTCCCCAGGCTCAAACAGGGCTGCAGGGAACAGAGTTGATCAGGTAAGGTAAGAAACATTTTTTTTTTTATGTAGAAGAGTGAGATCGTACTCAATGCACTTTAGCCCGTGAAAATGTGATAAAATGGGTCAGCATCATCTTAGTCAATGTTCACAATACATATATGTAGACTGTGATGTAAGAATAGATAAGGCAGGATGAGGTACTCTATTACAAAGTGCAAGAAAGCACCAAGGACACCCCAGTGTCTATTGATATGCATCAGCAGTAATGTTTGTTGTGACCTTCAAATACACAGCTTTCCAGAATACTACAATCCTGTACTGCAGGAAGAGAGCAGAGCAGGGAGAGTAGTCACCCATAAGGTAGTCAGTGGTGTCAGGGTCCACAGCGTCAAAGTCACAAACACACAGAGAAAGAGCGAGAGAAAGGGGCGGTCTGAATACACCTCTTTAGGCAAATTTGTGCCTGAATGTAACCAATGTTGTGTGTCAATTTGTTGTTGGATAGTTTTTCTCTACCTTTCATCTTCTGCCAGTCAGATGAGGTGGCGTCCATCTTGTCTCTTGCCACTGGAGGCCATGTCTCTGTGGTACTGGAGGCCATGTCTCTGGGGTACTGGAGGCCATGTCTCTGGGGTACCAGAACCTCTGAGGGGTTCTGGCTGCTCACATCAATGTCAGTGTTGTTGAGGAGCTGAGAGGTGATGTCTGTGCATCCTTCTTTCTTGGCGGAGGCGGGCACGTCTGCATCGCTGTACCACTTCCTGCTGGCACGTCTGCATCGCTGTACCACTTCCTGCTGGCACGTCTGCATCGCTGTACCACCTCCTGCTGGCACGTCTGCATCGCTGTACCACTTCCTGCTGGCACGTCTGCATCGCTGTACCACCTCCTGCTGGCACGTCTGCGTCGCTGTACCACTTCCTGCTGGCACGTCTGCATCGCTGTACCACCTCCTGCTGGCACTGTGGGCATAGGTTGCGGCAGGAGTGGCATGCTGGACCCGCGTTGTCGTGACGATGCCAACGGATTTACCTATGAGGGAATGAGGGAGGGAAGGAGGAAGAGTGAGAGGTAAGGAAATAAGGAGGGTGGGAGAGGAGGAAGTCATGAAGGAAGGAGGTTTTCTGTCAAATCTTGTCCACTATCAAAATAATCACCCTTGGTTTTAATACTTACTGTATATTTAATGTATGATATAGCCATGTGGCTGTGTTTGTGTGTCAGCTATCACATTATACAGCATTGAAATTAGAATATGTACATTTACTATGAGCATAGTCTCTCTCTCCCTCCCTCTCCCCCCCCCCCCACCCCCAGCCTGGGTGGAGGGGTCAGGGCTGTGGAGTTGTGAGTTATGATATGTTGGTGATAAGGGCACCTGATAACAGTAAAGGTAACATTCACCTGCCTCCATCAGCAGCACAGTATTACACCAGACCACAACACCTGATCACCAGACAAGCCAGAGGGCCCAGACTCCAGATATAGATGGTCCTGATGGACACAACTGTACATCTAGCCAACTGTTATCTCTCTCTTGTTTATTAGTGCTTGGTATCGGTATCTAACACCCACCTGATTATATAACCTGTCCAGGAAAAACTCTGGACCCTAGTTATCGGCTGTAAGGTTTTCCTGGTAAGTCAACAGGATCAGGACAAACTCAGGGCCCTAGTGATGTGGGAAGTTGGGCAGAGATATGGTTCCTACCAGCATCTTTGGCCCACTTGAGAATGGAGGTGACCTCGTTGCCCTTCTGGGTCTTGCAGATTCCGTTGCGTGCTGCAGCATTCACCCCGACCGTGTTCAGGTTGGTCTTAACACCACAGAGGTAGGCTGTGGATGAACTGTCAGGGATCTGGAAGTCAACACTATACGTCTGCACACACAGACAGTACATGCATACATTAAGGGATAGAAAGGAATATACATTAGTAAACTGTACACACCTGCATCAGGACATCAAACATGTATGCATAAGTACACAGTACACATATGTACGCATGAGCTTGCACCTCATACATACATCATTATACACATCAATACACAACAGACAATCTCTTCCTCTGAGAGAGGTACCCATGGTTGCAGCTGCACATCAAACAAAGTGTAATCTCTATGGGTATCTCTGTGCATGATAATGTGGTATCTGAAGTTTGTTTGTTTGTGTGTGTGTGTGTGTTTGTGTGAACCTTGAGGAGGCCTGCATGGGGGAAAGTGTCCATGGTCATGACCGTCTCCTCTCCAGACTGCTTGTGCATCTGGCCCTTGAGGATTCGAGCTGCTGTGATGGTGGTAATGCCCATACCTTGGGGAAAATGGCACAGAGAAATGCATCACACTAGGGTTGAACTGGACTGTAACTGGTGAATTAGAATAGGCTGGAAAGGAGGTTTCGGATGAGTTTCACTCATTGTATTTGTTATGCAAGATTTGCATACGTTGTTCGAATTTTCTTTAATGTTCATATTTACATTGCTTACACCACTGACGTGAGGTTTGGACGGTGATTGGTCACGCACCGTCACCCAGGTAGAGCATGATGTTTCTGGCCACATTGGTGTTCAACTTCCTGTTCAGTGCCGCCTGCAAAGCTTTGGCACCCTGGGCCCTCCAGAACTCTGGGTTCTCCTCCTCAACTGGAGCAGAGACACACACACTTATCAAAAATCACACTTATCAGAACTCCTCTAGCTCTCAATATGCAAATGTTTTCACTATTTTATATAATCTACTTTGAGCTGAGAGAGAGAGAGAGAGAGAGAGAGAGAGAAATCAGAGGGGATAGAGATGAACACCCAATGGACTGGTCTTTGGTCAGGCTCCAGGAGGCATGTAGTGAAGATTGTAATACTTCACTAGCCTGGCCTTTTATCTCCTCCAGCTAAACACACTGTAGATAGGAGGCTACAGTACCATACTGTAGATAGGAGGCTACAGTACCATACTGTAGATAGGAGGCTACAGTACCATACTGTAGATAGGAGGCTACAGGACCATACTGTAGATAGGAGGCTACAGTACCATACTGTAGATAGGAGGCTACAGTACCATACTGTAGATAGGAGGCTACAGTACCATACTGTAGATAGGAGGCTACAGGACCATACTGTAGATAGGAGGCTACAAGACCATACTGTAGATAGGAGGCTACAGTACCATACTGTAGATAGGAGGCTACAGGACCATACTGTAGATAGGAGGCTACAGTACCATACTGTAGATAGGAGGCTACAGTACCATACTGTAGATAGGAGGCTACAGTACCATACTGTAGATAGGAGGCTACAGTACCATACTGTAGATAGGAGGCTACAGGACCATACTGTAGATAGGAGGCTACAGTACCATACTGTAGATAGGAGGCTACAGTACCATACTGTAGATAGGAGGCTACAGTACCATGCTGTAGATAGGAGGCTACAGTACCATGCTGTAGATAGGAGGCTACAGTACCATGCTGTAGATAGGAGGCTACATTACCATACTGTAGATAGGAGGCTACAGTACCATACTGTAGATAGGAGGCTACAGTACCATACTGTAGATAGGAGGCTACAGTACCATACTGTAGATAGGAGGCTACAGGACCATACTGTAGATAGGAGGCTACAGTACCATACTGTAGATAGGAGGCTACAAGACCATACTGTAGATAGGAGGCTACAGGACCATACTGTAGATAGGAGGCTACATTACCATACTGTAGATAGGAGGCTACAGGACCATACTGTAGATAGGAGGCTACAGGACCATACTGTAGATAGGAGGCTACAGTACCATACTGTAGATAGGAGGCTACAGGACCATACTGTAGATAGGAGGCTACAGTACCATACTGTAGATAGGAGGCTACATTACCATACTGTAGATAGGAGGCTACAGTACCATACTGTAGATAGGAGGCTACAGGACCATACTGTAGATAGGAGGCTACAGGACCATACTGTAGATAGGAGGCTACAGTACCATACTGTAGATAGGAGGCTACAGGACCATACTGTAGATAGGACTGCAGATAGTAGTTGTTTACTACTTAGTTGATTTGGCAGATTCAGGAGAACTTGTGAAGCAAGGTGAGAGAGGATGGACAGAGTGAGAGGCCACACATCATTTACTATCTTTGGGATCTCCCCACTGATTCTGGCCGTGGTTGGCAGCTTCAGCAATAGACCCACCGAACGAGAAGATATCCAATGTAGAGACTACGAACCAGCACCAGTGGTGACAGACAACCAACACCAGTGGTGACAGACAACCAACACCAACCCCAATGGTGACTGACAACCAACACCAGTGGTGACAGACAACCAACACCAGTGGTGACAGACAACAGCTCTGAATGATTGCTTTTATTTATGACTTTATTGATGAACAGACTGTAGCAGTTGATCAAAGGCACACTAACAGGGAACGTGTGGGAACAGAGCTTCCACTAGACACACTATAAACACTGACCTCGGATCTGCTAATACAGTCGGGAACAAACACACAGATCATAAATGGGATAATAAAGGGGTAGATCATTAATAACCCAGTAGACACAATGGGATAAAGGACTCATGATGATTTACGTAATAGAGTCCAATGGGACTGGACTGTATGGTTGAAGGGCTCTCCTCTGGGAGACAGCTGCCAAACACACACACCAGTTAATCACGTATGCATATAATTACGGCAACTTGTTAATGAACAGATTTTTATATATAGTCCCACACACTCTCACTACACAGACTTTCAACATAACATGTCTTAACACTCAAATCACACACACACACACACACACACATGAACCTACACGCAGAGAGAAGCAGGCCCAGACACTGAGTAGTGTGAGTAGTGATAACAGCATTGTGAGGGTGGTGGTGAGGGCAGGGTGTGTTGGCACTGTGTTACTGCGCAGGGATTTACAGTGAGTAATGCGGCCCAGGAAGGAGGCATGTGACATCACGAGCGATGTAGGCGTTATCGTTAGCTGTGAGGAGGTGCCCACGCATACAGTACACTGCCACTGATTGAATGACAATCATTTGTTGGTTGACCGACTGATTGAGTGACAAGCTGCTTACTCTTCTCTAGTATGAAGAATCCCTTGGGTTTTTTGTTGAGGATGCTTCCTCCACCATGCCTGGAATAGATGGCTCCATGCTGGGGTCCCTGTACAGCTCAAAACTAATGTCATTGGTAGGAGACAGCCCTGCAATACACAGGCAGAGGTGTTATGCACTCACATCAATAATGTGCAGTTACATAGATGGTGTGACGGCTCCCTCTTGTGATTATGGAAGCAATGCACAAACCTGAATCATTATACAGTGCATTCAACTATCTGGAGTGGTTAAAGGGTTAACAGGATAAACAGGATAAAAGGAGGCTGAAGATTAGACCATGTCAGTAACTGAAGGGGAGAGAATGGTTCCTGTAACAGTCAGGCAAGATAAGCCGATAAAAGAAGGAAACAAAATGGCCACCGGGATAAGGTTACAGCGGGGTAAAATTACAGTGATTACATGAAAGAAACCTCTGTTGTCTTCATTGTAGGTAGTGTATTGAAGAGGACACGAGGTGGAATGTTGTCCCCATAAGTAGTGTATTGAAAAGGGCGTGAGGTTGAATGCTGTCTTTATTATACAGTGCATTTGGAAAGTATTCAGACCCCTTCACTTTTTCCACTTTGTTACGTTACAGCCTTATTCTAAAATGGATTCCCAAAAAAATGTCATCAATCTACAGACAATACCCCATATTGACAAAGTGAAAACAGGTTATACATTTTTGCAAATGTATAAAAAAGAAAAACAGAAATACCTTATTTACATAAGTATTCAGACCGTTTGCTATGAGACTCGAAATTGAGCTCAGGTGCATCCTGTTTCCATTGATCATCCTTGAGATGTGTCTACAACTTGATTGGAGTCCACCTGTGGTAAATTCAATTGATTGGGCATGATTTGGAGTGGCACACACCTGTCTATATAAGGTCCCACAGTTGACAGTGCATTTCAGAGCAAAAACCAAGCCATGCGGTCGAGGGAATTGTCCATTGAGCTCCGAGACAGGATCGTGTCGAGGCACAGATCTGGGGAAGGGTACCAAAAAAATTCTGCAGCATTGAAGGTCCCCCAAAACACAGTGGCCTCCATCATTCTTAAATGGAAGAAGTTTGGAACCACCAAGACTCTTCCTAGAGCTGGCCGCCAGGGCAAACGGAGCCATCTGGGGAGAAGGACCTTGGTCAGGGAGGTGACCAAGAACCCGATGGTCACTCTGACAGAGCTCCAGAGTTCCTCTGTGGAGATGGGAGAACCTTCCAGAAGGACAACCATCTCTGCAGCACTCCACCAATCAGGCCTTTATGGTAGAGTGGCCAGACAGATGCCACTCCTCAGTAAAAGTCACATGACAGCCCGCTTGGAGTTTGCCAAAAGGCACCTAAAGGACTCTGACCATGAGAAACAATATTCTCTGGTCTGATGAAACCAAGACTGAACTCTTTGGCCTGAATGCCAAGCGTCATGTCTGGAGGAAACCAGGCACTGCTCATCACCTGGCCAATACCATCCCTACGGTGAAGCATGGTGGTGGCAGCAGGTTCATCCGCAAACAGGACAAAGTACTGAGTAAAGGGTCTGAATACTTTTATTTTTTTATAAACTTGCAAACATTTCTAAAAACATATTTTTGCTTTGTCATTATGGGGTATTGTGTGTAGATTTGGGGGGGGGGGGTTATTTAATCAATTTTAGAATAAGGCTGTAACATAAAATGTGGAAAAGCTGAAGGGGTCTGAATACTTTACGAATGCACTGTAAGTAATGTATTGAAGAGGGCGTGAGGTTGAATGTCTTTATAAGTAGTTTATTGAAGAGGGCGTGAGGTTGAATGTCTTTATAAGTAGTTTATTGAAGTGGGCGTGAGGTTGAATGTCTTTATAAGTAGTTTATTGAAGAGGGCGTGAGGTTGAATGTCTTTATAAGTAGTTTATTGAAGAGGGCGTGAGGTTGAATGTCTTTATAAGGAAACGGAATCTAGCTCTAAGAGCTGCCAACTCTGCTCTGTCTATCTGGTCAAAGGGTTAACAGAATAAACAGGAATAAATTATATAGTGGCCAGGGACGATTTCTGCCTTCATTACCATTCAGAACATTTTCTATCAAAGGGGACATACAAGGTAGAGGACGGATTTCTGTTTATCACAGAAGACAACATTTTACTATTCTTGAGGAGGCCATTTGATCATCAAATTGAAAGGCGAAAAATTAAGTGGAGAGGAAGGTTTTTTTGAGTGTGTTGGAGGATGAAAAGGTGCTGTTACAGTGTAAGACTACTGTACTTCTATGTTATGGAACATCTGGTAGGCCAGGTCAGTACAGCCCTGTTGTCTGGCCTCATGACTCATTGCACTGTCTCTGTACCAAATACCGGCTCACACAGTGGGTGTAACTCACAGCAACCATGGCGTGTTGTACCCTTTCACAAAATCCGACTTACCTGAGAGGAGGGGAGTACTGGACAAGGTCAGCCAGGGAGGGATAGAGGGATGAGACCTGAGAGGAGGGGAGTACTGGACACAAGGGAGGGACAGAAGCACAGCGTGTAGAACTTGAGCTCTATCAATCTTGCTCATAGTTAGATCCAAGATATGTTCAAAGTTGGAGGTTGCAGTTTAAGTGAGTTTGTTACATAGGACAGTCATGGCGGGATGTGGCTAGTGGTTGTACAGTACCTGCATCTGACTCAGCGCAGTATGGAGGTGACCTCGTTGCCGTTACACTGTTTACAGACAGCCTTGGCACTCAACCCCCCCCCAGGAACTTGTGGTCGGCAGGTAGCTTAGAGCTAAGAGCGTTGTTCCAGTAAACGAAAGGTTGCTGGTTCTAATCCCCGAGCCGACTAGGTGAAAATTCTGTCGATGTGCCCTTGAGCAAGGCACTTAACCCTAATTGCTCCTGTAAGTCGCTCTGGATAAGAGCGTCTGCTAAATGACTAAAATGTAAATGTTGTCTGTGGCTGCCACATTTTACAGTAATTAGACAGACCTATTACTAACTAGGGTATGAGAATGCTTGCATCTTAGCTTTTCTTTAATGATTGTTTAGTAAACCTAAATCTCAAAACCCCTACCTACCAATATATCCAAAACGACAGCCCCATTCCATTAACCAGGTACTCCGCTGTGCAAAAAAAAAAAAAGAAAAGAAAGAAAACTGAAAAGGAGCCGGAATTGTGATAGAACGGAGATCAAATAAAGTGTGTGGTAAAGCTATATACAGTGGGGGGGAAAAGTATTTAGTCAGCCACCAATTGTGCAAGTTCTCCCACTTAAAAAGATGAGAGAGGCCTGTAATTATCATCATAGGTACACGTCAACTATGACAGACAAAATGAGAAAAACATTTCCAGAAAATCACATTGTAGGATTTTTAATGAATTTATTTGCAAATTATGGTGGAAAATAAGTATTTGGTCAATACTTTGTTATATACCCTTTGTTGGCAATGACACAGGTCAAACGTTTTCTGTAAGTCTTCACAAGGTTTTCACACACTGTTGCTGGTATTTTGGCCCATTCCTCCATGCAGATCTCCTCTAGAGCAGTGATGTTTTGGGGCTGTCGCTGGGCAACAAAGACTTTCAACTCCCTCCAAAGATTTTCTATGGGGTTGAGATCTGGAGACTGGCTAGGCCACTCCAGGACCTTGAAATGCTTCTTACGAAGCCACTCCTTCGTTGCCCGGGCGGTGTGTTTGGGATCATTGTCATGCTGAAAGACCCAGCCACGTTTCATCTACAATGCCCTTGCTGATGGAAGGAGGTTTTCACTCAAAATCTCACGATACATGGCCCCATTCATTCTTTCCTTTACACAGATCAGTCGTCCTGGTCCCTTTGCAGAAAAACCGCCCCAAAGCATGATATGTCCACCCCCATGCTTCACAGTAGGTATGGTGTTCTTTGGATGCAACTCAGCATTCTTTGTCCTCCAAACACGACGAGTTGAGTTTTTACCAAAAAGTTATATTTTGGTTTCATCTGACCATATGACATTCTCCCAATCCTCTTCTGGATCATCCAAATGCACTCTAGCAAACTTCAGACGGGCCTGGACATGTACTGGCTTAAGCAGGGGGACACGTCTGGCACTGCAGGATTTGAGTCCCTGGCGGCGTAGTGTGTTACTGATGGTAGGCTTTGTTACTTTGGTCCCAGCTCTCTGCAGGTCATTCACTAGGTCCCCCCGTGTGGTTCTGGGATTTTTGCTCACCGTTCTTGCGATCATTTTGACCCCACGGGGTGAGATCTTGCGTGGAGCCCCAGATCGAGGGAGATTATCAGTGGTCTTGTATGTCTTCCATTTCCTAATAATTGCTCCCACAGTTGATTTCTTCAAACCAAGCTGCTTACCTATTGCAGATTCAGTCTTCCCAGCCTGGTGCAGGTCTACAATTTAGTTTCTGGTGTCCTTTGATAGCTCTTTGGTCTTGGCCATAGTGGAGTTTGGAGTGTGACTGTTTGAGGTTGTGGACAGGTGTCTTTTATACTGATAAGTTCAAACAGGTGCCATTAATACAGGTAATGAGTGGAGGACAGAGGAGCCTCTTAAAGAAGTTACAGGTCTGTGAGAGCCAGAAATCTTGCTTGTTTGTAGGTGACCAAATACTTATTTTCCACCATAATTTGCAAATAAATTAATTAAAAATCCTACAATATGATTTTCTGGAAAAAATATTCTCAATTTGTCTGTCATAGTTGACGTGTACCTATGATGAAAATTACAGGCCTCTCTCATCTTTTTAAGTGGGAGAACTTGCAGAATTGGTGGCTGACTAAATACTTTTTCCCCCCACTGTAAGTAGTGAGGACTGATGAGGGCTCAGAGTGCACACAAAAAGTGAATAGGTTAAGAGTTCAGGGGGCCTGAAACATGACTGACCTGTTACTTTGGTCAGACCATACAAATCTGTGGTGTAGGATTAAGGTCTAGTCACCTCTTCCACCCTCGATCTACACAGATGGAACTTCTGCACAAAAGAGAACAGTCAGAACACACAACTCTGCAGACGGGAGAACTTTAGAAGCGGAGACAATGAAAACACACAAATGCAATTTCTCAGCGGTGGAGCCGCATACTCATGTTCTGATTGGCTGAGACTTACACAATGCCCAGTCGGCTTCCTCATTCCACAAGACAATTAAGTACAGTAAAGGCTTTCAGTTTCTTTGTATGGGGCAACAGAGTGAGAGGACATAGTGGGGCGTAACAGTTTGAAATCTGACATGACTGTGAAACAACATGTAGGCCGTCAGTCCTCCCCTCTCTGGAAACAAAAACTTTTTTTTCTCTAGTGTTTTCTTTTTTGCAATGTTCTTTATTATCTTTTCCAGTTTTGGATATGAAAAGAGGCATTCATTTTCTTAATTAAATACTTCATAAAGTAAAGCAAAAAATTATTTACAAAATATTCAATTAAATTGTAATCAATGACCTCCGGTGGATAATTACAAGCACCTTCTGCTAGCTGAGGAGAGAAAAATATAAATACATAGAACTGCCACTTTGTTTCTGAAAAAAAATACATGGCATAACATTAGCACTTATTTTTGAAAAATAAAACCCCAAAAAACTGAATATACAGTGGGGAGAACAAGTATTTGATACACTGCCGATTTTGCAGGTTTTCCTACTTACAAAGCATGTAGAGGTCTGTAATTTTTATCATAGGTACACTTCAACTGTGAGAGACGGAATCTAAAACAAAAATCCAGAAAATCACATTGTATGATTTTTAAGTAATTAATTTGCATTTTATTGCATGACATAAGTATTTGATCACCTACCAACCAGTAAGAATTCCAGCTCTCACAGACCTGTTAGTTTTTCTTTAAGAAGCCCTCCTGTTCTCCACTCATTACCTGTATTAACTGCACCTGTTTGAACTCGTTACCTGTATAAAAGACACCTGTCCACACACTCAATCAAACAGACTCCAACCTCTCCACAATGACCAAGACCAGAGAGCTGTGTAAGGACATCAGGGATACAATTGTAGACCTGCACAAGGCTGGGATGGGCTACAGGACAATAGGCAAGCAGCTTGCTGAGAAGGCAACAACTGTTGGCGCAATTATTAGAAAATGGAAGAAGTTCAAGATGACGGTCAATCACCCTCGGTCTGGGGCTCCATGCAAGATCTCACCTCGTGAGGCATCAATGATCATGAGAAAGGTGAGGGATCCGCCCAGAACTACACGGCAGGACCTGGTCAATGACCTGAAGAGAGCTGGGACCACAGTCTCAAAGAAAGCCATTAGTAACACACTACGCCGCCATGGATTAAAATCCTGCAGCGTACGCAAGGTCCCCCTGCTCAAGCCAGCGCATGTCCAGGCCCGTCTGAAGTTTGCCAATGACCATCTGGATGATCCAGAGGAGGAATGGGAGAAGGTCATGTGGTCTGATGAGACAAAAATAGAGCTTTTTGGTCTAAACTCCACTCGCCGTGTTTGGAGGAAGAAGAAGGATGAGTACAACCCCAAGAACACCATCCCAACCGTGAAGCATGGTGGAAACATCATTCTTTGGAGATGCTTTTCTGCAAAGGGGACAGGACGACTGCACCGTATTGAGGGGAGGATGGATGGGGCCATGTATCGCGAGATCTTGGCCAACAACCTCTTTCCCTCAGTAAGAGCATTGAAGATGGCTTGTGGCTGGGTCTTCCAGCATGACAACGACCCGAAACACACAGCCAGGGCAACTAAGGAGTGGCTCCGTAAGAAGCATCTCAAGGTCCTGGAGTGACCTAGCCAGTCTCCAGACCTGAACCCAATAGAAAATCTTTGGAGGGAGCTGAAAGTCCGTATTGCCCAGCGACAGCCCCGAAACCTGAAGGATCTGGAGAAGGTCTGTATAGAGGAGTGGGCCAAAATCCCTGCTGCAGTGTGTGCAAACCTGGTCAAGACCTACAGGAAACGTATGATCTCTGTAATTGCAAACAAAGGTTTCTGTACCAAATATTAAGTTCTACTTTTCTGATGTATCAAATACTCATGTCATGCAATAAAATGCAAATTAATTACTTAAAAATCATGTGATTTTCTAGATTTTTGTTTTAGATTCCGTCTCTCACAGTTGAAGTGTACCTATGATAAAAAGTACAGACCTCTACATGCTTTGTAAGTAGGAAAACCTGCCAAATCGGCAGTGTATCAAATACTTGTTCTCCCCACTGTATATATTACAGAACTCTCCTGAAATACATTTCCACTAAAAGGATACATACTGTGAATGTTATTTCTCTTTTTTAAAGTTGATTTCTATATACACACACACACACACCTTTCAAGTTTTATGATTTTCTCTTTTTTTTAAAGATCCATATCCTTGCAAGCCCGTTCTCCCTTTCCAGCCCCACAGTTTTTTTTAAGTCTAAGAGAAAAGTAACAGGACTAATGGGGTTTGGCAGGCATGGCCATAAGGAAGCATTGTGACCCCCAGCAGAAAAAGGTCATTGTCCATCGCCCCCCCTCCCCAGTCCCTCTCCACCAATCCCAGAGTCCATAGTCATAAAGTCCACAGAAGTCTCACAAAGACTTACGACTGAAATGTCCAAAGACAGTGAGCTCCAGCATGAAATGTCCAAAGACAGTGAGCTCCAGCATGACCACTTTTCTTTATATAAAAAAAGAAACACTCCAATCATCCTACACTCGAAAAGAAAGTGCTAATCGCTGACAGTCATATAGAATCACACATTCGACATGGCCATCATGTCTCATTCAACACAATATATGATGCAATCAAAAATATATATATATATGAGCAGCCTTTATTAGTTCGTTGTCTGTTGGGGATTTTCTTTTGTTGTTTTGCTAAACATCATGAATAGTGTTGCTATGGCAACATGACGCCTTTAAAACCTCAAAACACTGAAGGAAAGGAAACAGCCACCCCTACATCTTGTTGTAACGCTTATCATTCTCTTGCAATTTGTTTCTCAATATATTTCACTTTAGTTCAAAAACAATTGGCAGCGCAAAATAAACAAAAAAAGAAAAGAAAAAACGATTGCATGTTTCGATCTGTAGTAGAATCTCCCAGCTGATTCTTTCCCCAGTCTTTTTTTTTATTCTTTTTTTTCGCAGAAGGATTTTGCAGATTCTAAATCATTAGACAGCATGTTCTCTTTCCTCCTCCAGTCCAGGGGGCGCTGGTGAGCAGGTCCTAGCTGTTGTTGTCAGACTCCTCGTCCTCGGCCTCACGGAGCCAGGTGAAGAAGGCAGTGACGGACTTCAGGGCCACACCCTTGCCCTGCATCTCAGCTGGGTCCTTGCTTGACTCCCACTTGTAGAAGGCCTCCTCTTTGATCACGTCCTCGTCGTACAGCGTGTCAAAGAACATCCGCAGCAGGTCTACAAGAAAGGAGGAAGACAGGATGTCAACACAATGGAAGGGGAGCGAGACAGGATTTCAATATACAATGTACACACAAATAACTACTCTAGGTTACAAATTGGTCAACCACACCCCTCGGTCAAATTACCCCTATGGAAAAAAAGGAAGAAAAAGGCTAACATTGGGAGACAAACACAGGACAAATCTGAGAGTCTTCATGTAAAAAAACTGCCAAAGAGACTTGACACATAGGGAAACAGAGGAGAGTGACTGAAGTCATTGTGTATCTCACTCACTGGCAGGTTGCTCCATCTCCACCATGAGGGCCTGCAGGGCGTAGAGGGCCTGCAGCTCCTTCTGCTCATCCTTCAGGTACTTGTGGAGCAGCTTGGCCCTCTGGGTGATCACCTTCGCATCCAACTTGGAAGGGTTTTCACCTGGGGGCAGAGGTCAAACTATATTTTGGTATTTTTTAAATTAGTCCACTATTGATACAGTCCCAAAATGTTTTGCATGTCAGCAGTCATGTTTTCAATATATTGGACTTTCAAGAAGCAAAGTGTCCACGGACACGTCATCATGATGATGCGTTTGGAGTGATCTGAACCATAATAAGCTGGCTCGGATATATTATTTCACAATTGTCCTTTCCAGCACGGTTCCGGCAACTATGCATTGGTACAGTGCTGCTATGTAGTGTGAAAAGGGTATTTGAGTGGAGGGTTGTCCTGATACAGTGTTGGATTGAGAGGTGGTAGCAATAAAGGTAGGGTAACTCACAGATGATGGCCGACTGGCAGATGGATGTCATGACTGCTCTGACAAACACGTTGGAGGATATCTGTGTCTCGTCCAGGTTAGCCTAAAGAGGGAGGGCACAGTACATCAACACATATCAGTGGGGTTGAGCAGTGAGATATATAACAGGGACATATATAACGGAGTCTATTGGTAAAACTACTGCAGAAGGAACCAAAAGCAAATCAAAATATTAATTGGGTGAGTGGACACACACATCATACCTCGACCCAATCGTAGATCCTCTGGTTGTCAGCCTTGTCCTGTATGAGTCTGTCCAGCTGTTTGTTCAGCTCCTCTGAGCTCAGCTCCTTCTTACTGCTCTTCTCCGTCTCATCACCTCCTCCTCCCAGGGTGAACTCCACATTCTGCATTCAGAGGGTACACACAGCAAGAGAGTGAAACATCCCATCATTACTGTTGAGGGCTTTCCAGACAGGAAGCGATGGGGCAGAGCAAAGGTCGCCAAAATAGAGCAGATTCCTATTTCTCCACCTCGGCTGAGCGGCTTTCACGTGTACGAGCACCGCAGATCGCTCCGCCTAGAATAACGTTGCCCGCCTAGTGCCATTGAAAATAAATGGGCAACTCTGCTGCCGCTTCCTGTCTGGAAAGCCCTTAAAGCACCATGGGAAAACTGTTGATGCAAGTAAGACTATCACATTTGATTTAAATTTGATCGATTGATCTAAAAGGTATGACGTAGATGCAGAAAATAAACAGCATAGCGGGTCAATTTTTCGCAACAACTAAGAGTGTTAAAGCGTGAGGTCAACTTCCCAGCTGTTTTGGTCCCCTGGCTGTAAGACCGTAAAGCAAACCAATGCACAAGCACAGATTGTGTGAGAGCGAAGTCTTGCATCTCAATATCAGCGGTGCTGCTCGTGCCAACGTCATTTCGCTGAGTCTACCTTGAATAATTGACTATTATTTCATATTTGTCTCTCAGCGCAGTTTAAGGTCAATACTAAATGGTGTATCTCCTTTCAATCCCTACAGGGTCATGACCTCTGACCGCTTACCTTTTCTGTCACAAACTTGTTGACATCCTCGTCCTCAGGCAGAAAGTCTTTCCAGCTAAGCCCCGCCTCCCTCCACATGGCGCCTGCCTTTTTATGGCTCTGAGGTAGACGGATACAGGTGGTTCCATTTAAAACACTTAGGATCCACAAACATGACATTTGTATAGGATTCAAACATCAAAAGGTAATAAAGCAACATCTCCTTTACAGGTTGGGTAGTGAGAGAACGTACCATTCCTTTGCAGAGTAGGGTAAGGACCTGGACCAGCAGAACTCCAGCCATCCCCTGAGGAACCAGGGGCTTGGATATCTCTCTGCAGGGTCAAAGGTCAAAACAAGGTCAGTAGGTCACATCGTAATATAGATGATACTGACTGATTGAATAGGGTTATTATTAGTAGAGGCCTAGAATGAAGCCTGGGACTGACTTGAAGAGCTGTCCCATGGGGATGCCTCCTTCGTGGAGCATAGGGGTGATGAGCTCAGCCAGGTAGAGCCAGATATGTGGGATGTCTATAGCCATGTCCTCTGCCACCTCCAGTATCTCCTGAAGCCTGTTGAGACACACACAAACATAACACACACACTCCAAATCAAAATCACTCAGATTTATCAGATAGACTTGATCTATAAAATGAAAAAAGGTAAATATACTAGTGGTCCACTACCAACCACCCTTTTCACATATTCAATGTTTCACAACTCATTTGTGTGTAGTGCTGTTCCACAGGCAGAAAAATGAGGTGACTGACCCTCTGTAGTACTGCTCTGTGGGCAGGGTGCCTGCCTTGTACAGCTGGTGCAGCAGCAGGCCCATGCGTTCTCTGGCGATGGGGCTGCGCTCCAGAGTGGACTCCAGACCGCTCCGTACAAACACAAAGAGCAGCGGGGTGCTGTTCATCTCCACTACACACTGCAGCGCCTCCTACAGCGCCGGAGGGGAAACAAACAGGATTCAAAAGGTTCCTTTTACTCCTCTAAAGTAGGGCTGTGTTTCAGTAATAAAAACTGGTTAAAAACAGTTTGTTGTATATCATTTACATGGAAAGCCATTTTCAAATTAGCACCATGTGGCCAACTAGCTACAGTATGCATCATTCAACTGTTGCATATCTGTGTGTGGTTGATATGTAGGCCAATGATCTGCATGGGTATAAATGTGATGTACCTTCATGTCATTGATGTGTAGGTACTCCTCTATGATAGCTGTGGACTTCTTCTCCAGCTCTTCTTCACTCAAGGCAGGTTTGGTCTGGGGAGGAGGGGGGGTTGGAGCAGCTTCCCTCTTCACTGTGGCCCAAACAGAGAGAGAATGTCACATACAGAAGTTACTCAAAATGTCTGCCTGAGAAATCCTTGCCTTTTAAAACACTACAAATTCCCCATAAACTGTTCCTGATTTGGATAACATAGCACCAACTCTCTGCCTTTCCCTGTCCCTTTAAAGCCCTGGTCACTCCTGCCAGCAGTACTGTAAGCCTGACAGAATGTATGCTGTGTTTCGTACCATTCTCTTTGCTCCTAGCTCGGTCTCTGCTGCCCCGGTCCCTGTCGTCGGTCATGCTGGCTACGCGGCGTACGGGATCAGCAGGGCCACGGTGCTCCCTCTCTCTGCTGTGCTCCTCTGTCTCCCTGCTAAAGCTCCGCTTGCTGACCGGGGGCCGGTTCCTGTCCCGGTCGTCCCGCCGGTCGAAGCGGTCGTTGCTGCCACGGTCATGACGCTCAAATCTGTCGCTGCCACGGTCCCGGCTCGAGCTGTTCCTGTTTGTGTACGGGGGGGGGGGGGGGGGTTGATACAAAGAGTGGTAACAGTGATGTTCCATATTTAAACCAGTGACTATCTGACACAAAGAGAAAACCTCACAGACAGAAAGAGATATGTAAAGGACAGATGTAGTCTGTTGTAACGTCCCAGTGCTGCTGACCTCTGAGGAAGTCTTCTGTCCGAGTCCTGTGAGGGCTGCTGTGGCTGCAGGGCTGAGAACCTGTTGAGGGTGCTGGTGGCTGGGCGGCCTCCTGACTCTGGGGCTACACACATACACACACACTTTGTGTTTAAGGAGTCTAAGAGTAGATATTTCACAGTGGTGGGTGTACTGGTAAAATGACTTACTGGCTTCCCCAGCGGGTTTGGCTCCGGTGGTGCCTCCACTGCTACCCTTACCCCAGCTGCCCCACATGCCCTTGCCCCCGAGCTGGGGCGCCAGCAGCTGGTTGTTGAAGTCCAAAGCCCCAGGCTGCAGAGAGAAGGAGAGGTTAGAAACATTACTGTTGAGGAAAGAAGACTAGCAGAATTGTTGATGTCATCTTGAGATCTGAGAAAGGTCTGAGGTTTCAAGTTACATAAATAAGAAGTTTGGAGGAGTCAGGATTGGTATGGTCATAACTCTAAATGGAGGTTAAAGGTTAAGTGGTGTGTGCTAGACTACAGAGTGAGTGGGTTTAGGGTTTTCAGTCCAACAGATTAGAAGAGTTGGGAATGGTAGGGCTGATAGAACTTTATAATGGGGTTGAAGGTTAAGGAGGTGGTTGCTAGACTGCAAGTGGAGGGGGTTGGAGTGTTTCAGTCCAAACTGAGTATGGGGTCTACGATACGTGGCTGAGAATCCACAGTATGATGTATCACTGACCTTAGTGATCTTGCTGAGTCGGCTGGTGTCGATGGGTCTGCTCTTGGTGGAGATGGGAACTGTGTTCCAGCCCTCATCCTGAGGCTGACTCCTCTGGCCCGCCTGGGGGTGTTGGCCCCCGCGGTTCCCCTGATCTCTTCCTCCTCCTCCTCCTCCTCCTCCTCCTCCTCCACGTCCTCCACTTCCTCCTCGGGTGTTCTGGTTGAGGAGTTGTTGCTGCACCTTGAGAACCTCCCTGTGCTCCTCCAGCTCAGCCTCCTTGTGGATCTGGTCTATGGTCTTGGGGCCCTGCTCTCCTCTCCTGGGGACCCACGTGTTCTGGGAGGGAGTGAGTACAGTAATATAGTTTAACTGAGGATTGGAGTTAGATGGGAAAGTGTGGCGTACTCTTAACACTCCATATCTCTTCGAGGCATAAGTCCCTTAGTCAATAAATTAAGAGATAAATGGGTCACTTGACAACTAGGCTACATAGCGAGAGAGAGCGAGATGCCTTGCCCTACCTTGACCCCGCTGTCAGCTTTTCCAGACCAAGGAAACTGAAACTAGTGTTTTCCTAGTAAACGACAGGGGCCAGTGTGCCGACTGAGTGCAGCTGATCAGCTCTTATGAAACATCCCGACTGCTGCTTTGGTAACAAACTTACTTGGGGTGGAACCATAGAGATCATATAATGTGGTGCACGTGTTGGAACCCTGTCTGAACATGTAGACCTACATGACCTATGTTGTACAGGGATCAGACAGTGGGGAGACTGGATCCAGTACAACGCCACAGCACTGCAAGTCACAGTCAAACAAACACAAAGAGGCTCTGCAGACATTTTCCCAGAAAGGTCACTGGAGACTAAACTAGTTAAAGTGGAACAGTCCAGCATTTATATTTTCCAGTAAACTGCATTATGGGAAACCTCAGACACACACACAGCTAACAGCACTGTACAAATAAATGCACATCTAGACCTTAGATAGAGGCCCAAGCTACATATCCTAAGTAAACATACCTGTATGTCCTTAGTAACTAGTAGTTTTCAAACAAAGAAAGAAATGTGAGTTTGTGAACCACTGAAAGCTTAGTGAATGGGTCATAGGCATTAGGCTTGGGATGTATAACGTATATACCAGGGTATTTGGAAATACCCACGGGACAGTTTTTCAATACTGTCAATACCGCTGAAACTATATTCTTTGAATATTTGTAGCTACTTTTTAAGTTAATGTCTGCAGTCAACTTGTGCAATTCAGGAGATAATGCAGATGTCATTATCTCATTATGAAGCTTCCAGGTAGTCTTGGGAGTAACTGAAGGTGATCTAGTTACAGTATGGAGTTCACAACTAGATATCTTACAACTATTAAGTTAACTGTCTAAAATGTGCTAAATGCTCTGCAGTTGTGCATTTGGTTTGCTAAATATGTACCAAGTTCTTCTAGCTAAATTGTTAGCTTCTTGCAATCAAGCTCCTCTTGGTAACAGCAGAGAATCCCTTCCTTGCCGTCTAATATTAGTTTTGCGTGTGCAGCAATGGGTGTTGCATTTTTGAGTGACATATATAACTTTATGAGTCAGATGTCTTTCCTGCAATGTGTGTCAGACTTTATAAATTGTTTGCATGAGTTTGTTAGATTTGACTTGTACTTGTTAGCGTTGCTAACCTTGGGATTGAAAATAGCGCTCGTGTTCAGTGCAGGTATTACCGAATATCCCTGTACGGCACAAGGTCGGTATGAAGGTACAATCTGGATACTGCCCAAAACTAACAGGAATGGTTAAGTAGTTTATGTGAACATCAATGGACACATCCGTTTAGAAGGGTGGTAAAAATCTAGATGGTGAATGACATGGAGAGGAGGGAGGGTTTACAGTAGCTTGGAGAGATGTTATTGGCTGCGGTGTGCAGACTGACTCCTGTCTCAGCCTATGGCACAGAGGGGCCCAGCTGGGGAGCCTCCCTGTATTAAAGAGCTGAGTTTCTCTCTCTCTTAGCCCACTTCAGAACCAACACGGGCCAGGACTACAGACTAGTGTGGGCGTCTATGGGGCTGTAAAACAACACACCCACTATGATACACTACATGCATGCATAGAGGGGGCTTGTAAAGGAAGTGAGACTAGAGGTCAGAGGTGATTTGGGATCAGGGATAAGTTCAGAGGTAATGTTGGGTTAGGGGAGACCATTCTGTCTATGGTAGTTTGACCCATAGTGTTTACAGATAGGCTTGGATACATACCAACCAGAGGACAAGGGTCAGTCAGATTAGATAGAGATGACCAAAAGGTTTAGGTGAGGGGGCTGAAGCATTCCCCAGACACTGGTGTGTGTGTGTGCGTTAGGAGGCATTACCCTCCTGAGGTCCAGTACGTCCTGCAGCATGAAGCGGATTCTGGACGATGTCTTCTTCTCCTTGATGATCTTGTCCATCTGGGCAAAGTACTGGTCCATACGAGGCTACAGAAAGAGAGACAGCCAGGTTAGTGTGTGTGTGTTGGTGTGTAAATCTAAGTTCCTTATAAATCATTTGGTGTAAGTGTTCTAAAGGATGTGTGTGTGTGTGTGTGTGTGTGTGTGTGTGTGTGTGGGAGACACAGGTTCAGGGTTACCTTTGCCTTCTCAAAGTCCAGGTCCTTCCCTATAGTGGACAAGAGTCTACAGAGGCACTCTAGCGACTCCTCATCGTGGTTCTTCAGCAGCTTGACGATGCAGTCGTGCATGATGGCCTCCGTCAGCATCTTCAGCTTGAACAGCTCACCGATGAACTTGATGTTGCCTAGCGACCTCCGCCGTGCCTTGTCTTTGGCCTCCTCCAGCTCCGCCTTCAGTCGATCCTTCTCCTCCTTCAGACAGGTAGTGATGTAACAGAGGGAGAGGAAGCAGGGGGAGGGAGGTATAGCACACAGATGGTCAGCTAACTCCTACTGAAACCAAAACCAATTCAAAGTGTGAGAGAGACATTTGAATTGGTCACAGAGCCCAGCTCGTACCGTGGCTGCAGCGTCCAGCTCTTTCTGCTTCTCCTCAAAGATGACATCATCGTCCTTGTCCTTCTCAAACTCCTTCTGACAGCGGTTCAGAAGCAGCTTGCGGAAATTCACAGTGACTCCCGGCTTGTCTGTAGTGGGGACTTTGAGCTGACGAGAGGAAAAGACAAAAACAAACATTTAGGCCACGGTTGGAGAGCTTTGCAGATGTCACATAAAGCATAAGAGGGAACGTGATGAGTGTAGTAGAACCACTCCAGTCAGTGGCCCAGACACGTGGCACAGAACGGAGGTCATCACCGGACCAAGCCCAGCACACTAGCTGAACACACATACACCCTTCATAGTCACTCACCCCCATAAGGCAGCGGCACATGTTGGCGTAGGCCACGGAGAAGTTGGGTTCAGAGATGGCCTTCTCAAAGATCAGATCTATCACTCCCTTCAGCCTCTCCTCCGTATCGATGGTCAGCTCTGTGACCTGCTTCATCAGCTGTTGGAACATCTGAGGGGTCAGCTTGTTCAGGATACTACGGACCCTCTTGAACAGCTCCTGGGTCTTGGCCTGTTCTGGGTCGTCGCTCTCCTCCTCAGGAGCAGCTTGCCCACTGGTAGCCTTCTTGACGGCGGGCTTCCAGGCCTTCTCAGCCTTATTGAGCTTCACGTCGTCCGTCAGAGACGAAGAGATGTTGATGATCCTCCTGGGTTCCTTACGCTGGCCCTGCTGGGAGCGACGTGGTCCTCCACCACCCATACCAGAGGGCTGGAGGAGAGGAGGGAGGGGAAAAGGAAAGAAATTCAGTCAACATTGCTTTAATATAATCACAGACTTTCAGAATCAGAGTGTAGTCTTTGAGAAGATTGACAGTTTCCCATGGTAACTCACTGGTCCTCCTCTGTGGCCACCTCCTCCTCCTCCACCAACTCCTCCTCCTCCTCCTCCTCCTCCCCCTCCCATTCCAGGCCTGCCCAGGTTGGCAAACGAGGGCGTGAAGTCAGTGCCCATGTTCATCCCCGGCAAACGGCCGGGGTCCAACTGGCGGAGAGGGGCCTTATTCGCCTGGAGAGCGAGAAGTAGTACCAGGAATAGAGAGAAAGAATGTCGGACAAAGAAAGACAACAAAACAAATAACTGGTGAATAATGTGGTCCATCTGAAGAAAACAATCTATACAATTCTCGAATGGAGTGTGCAGTGGTTCCTCCAGTCCAGCAGGGGACAGTGTGTTGTACTGTACCTTGTCCAGCACGACATCACTGATCTGAGGCAGGCCCTCAGGCTTGGACATGGCGGCACTGATGAACTGGAAGCCCAGCAGGAAGTCCCTGTCATACCTCTTCTTCTCCTCTGGGTCTATAGGCCTACATAGTTCTGGAGGAACAAGGAATTATAGAGGAATCACATTATTACATTTTACATTTTAGTCATTTAGCAGATGCTCTTATCCAGAGCGACTTACAGTTAGTGAGTGCATACATTATTATTTTATTTATTTTTCATACTGGCCCCCCGTGGGAATCGAACGCACAACCCTGGCGTTGCAAACTCTACCAACTGAGCTACATCCCTGCCGGCCATTCCCTCCCCTACCCTGGACGATGCTGGGCCAACTGTGCGCCCCCCCCCATGGGTCTTCCGGTCGCGGCCGGCAACGACAGAGCCTGGATTCGAACCAGGATCTCTAGTGGCACAGCTAGCACTGCGCCACTCGGTAGTTCAGGGTTTAGATTGGTAGAGTTAGGGTATATAGTCTGGCATCCGACCTGAGTATCGCTCAGTTTCACTAATGTTTACCTTAAAAAAAAAAAATCATACATTGACGTCAAATGGGACTTTAGGACTCGTGCTCTGACAAAGCATTTCCAATAAAGTTAAACTTTGCATCCTCTCTTGACTGACAGTAAAGGCAGACCTTGTGAGATAAGGTGTAGAGGATAACGTTAAGAGGATTACGTTTCTAAGTAAGTATAGAAATGTTACAGGGCCTCTTATGGCCAAGGTTCAGAACCCACCCTCTCTGTACTGGTACTTCAGATCCCCGGGCTTGGGTTCAATGTTCTCTGCATCCAGTTTGTCTTCCTTCTCCTCCCACGTCTCATCCACCTCTTCGACTGCAGGGGTGGCGGCTGGGCGGGGCTCCTCAGCGTCAGCGGCAGAAGTGGGTGTGGCCTGCTCTGGCTCAGGCGGGCTCTGCACTACCTGCTCCTGGAGAGGGAGAGAGAGAGAGAGAGGGGGGAGAGAGAAAAGAGGAGGGATTGAGGAAAGAGTAGTCTGTAAAAACATTTTTATATTTTGGGTTGTGAACAGCCATTTTTAAAGCTTTGATATGAGATTGCGTGGGTAGTTTGTGTGAACGGACCTCCTTAAAGGCATCCAGGAGGTCTCCAACAGCCTCCTTCTTGTTCAGATCCTTCATCTTCCTCTTTTTCTTCGGCACAGAAACAGCAGCTACAAGCAGAACACCACCAACACAGTCAGACTAAACCACCATGGATTGACACTCAATCCCCAATCCAACCCTAGCACCCAAACTCCACCTAGCCTGTCAGAAATCAATCCCTAATCCAACCCTAGCACCCAAACTCCACCTAGCCTGTCAGAAATCAATCCCCAATCCAACCCTAGCACCCACACTCCACCTAGCCTGTCAGAAATCAATCCCTAATCCAACCCTAGCACCCACACTCCACCTAGCCTGTCAGAAATCAATCCCTAATCCAACCCTAGCACCCACACTCCACCTAGCCTGTCAGAAATCAATCCCTAATCCAACCCTAGCACCCACACTCCACCTAGCCTGTCAGAAATCAATCCCTAATCCAACCCTAGCACCCACACTCCACCTAGCCTGTCAGAAATCAATCCCCAATCCAACCCTAGCACCCACACTCCACCTAGCCTGTCAGAAATCAATCCCTAATCCAACCCTAGCACCCACACTCCACCTAGCCTGTCAGAAATCAATCCCTAATCCAACCCTAGCACCCACACTCCACCTAGCCTGTCAGAAATCAATCCCTAATCCAACCCTAGCACCCACACTCCACCTAGCCTGTCAGAAATCAATCCCTAATCCAACCCTAGCACCCACACTCCACCTAGCCTGTCAGAAATCAATCCCCAATCCAACCCTAGCACCCACACTCCACCTAGCCTGTCAGAAATCAATCCCTAATCCAACCCTAGCACCCCACACTCCACCTAGCCTGTCAGAAATCAATCCCTAATCCAACCCTAGCACCCACACTCCACCTAGCCTGTCAGAAATCAATCCCTAATCCAACCCTAGCACCCACACTCCACCTAGCCTGTCAGAAATCAATCCCTAATCCAACCTTAGCACCCACACTCCACCTAGCCTGTCAGAAATCAATCCCTAATCCAACCCTAGCACCCACACTCCACCTAGCCTGTCAGAAATCAATCCCTAATCCAACCCTAGCACCCACACTCCACCTAGCCTGTCAGAAATCAATCCCTAATCCAACCCTAGCACCCACACTCCACCTAGCCTGTCAGAAATCAATCCCCAATCCAACCCTAGCACCCACACTCCACCTAGCCTGTCAGAATTCAATCCCCAATCCAACCCTAGCACCCACACTCCACTAGCCTGTCAGAAATCAATCCCTAATCCAACCCTAGCACCCACACTCCACCTAGCCTGTCAGAAATCAATCCCCAATCCAACCCTAGCACCCACACTCCACCTAGCCTGTCAGAAATCAATCCCCAATCCAACCCTAGCACCCACACTCCACCTAGCCTGTCAGAAATCAATCCCCAATCCAACCCTAGCACCCACACTCCACCTAGCCTGTCAGAAATCAATCCCTAATCCAACCCTAGCACCCACACTCCACCTAGCCTGTCAGAAATCAATCCCTAATCCAACCCTAGCACCCACACTCCACCTAGCCTGTCAGAAATCAATCCCTAATCCAACCCTAGCACCCACACTCCACCTAGCCTGTCAGAAATCAATCCCCAATCCAACCCTAGCACCCACACTCCACCTAGCCTGTCAGAAATCAATCCCTAATCCAACCCTAGCACCCACACTCCACCTAGCCTGTCAGAAATCAATCCCTAATCCAACCCTAGCACCCACACTCCACCTAGCCTGTCAGAAATCAAGTGGAGCGGTTACCACATTGCCACCTATCCAACATTTTATTTTTATGGCTTTCTGTTGGAGCTATGATCACTCCAAGTACCCGCTGTTCTGGGTCCTCGGCGTAGACATAACCCTGTCACTCTCTGCCCCTCATGACACAGGCCCGACACACAGTCGGACTGCAACGCCTCAAGGGGCAGATCCTCCTAGCCAATGTTTTATCTTCACGAAGTGCCAAGGGGTAGGGTTAGGAATTGAAAAAAACGATGTGGTTGAATGACAAACAGATGAATCTAGATAGAGAAAAAGACAGAGATAGAGGGAGACTGTTTCAAAAACAGAGAGAAAAAGTGTGAGTCTGTCAGACTGATACTGACCTTGCATAGAACTCTCCCCGGCTGGGGTGTTGCTCTGTGGTGGTGGAGAGTCCATCTGGTCTTCCACACGGGGAGGGGTTACCTCTGTAGTAGTAGCAGTCTCAGCTAGGACCACGGGGGCAACAGTCACCTGGACGGCAACAGGGGCGGGCATTGGTGTCACGGCAACAGGGGCGGGCATTGGCGTCACGGCAACGGGGGCGGGCATTGGCGTCACGGCAACGGGCGTTGGCGTCACGGCAACGGGGGCGGGCGTTGACGTCACGGCAACAGGCGATGCCGTCACGGCAACAGGCGATGCCGTCACGGCAACAGGCATGGGTTTAGGCACGGGTGCCTCCCTCTGTAAGTGGGCCATCTCAGGCTCAGCGATGGGGCTGACGTCACACTCCGACGACTCTGCAGACACCTTCTCAGGGTCCTGTGGGCTGGGGAGAGGCAGGCCGTTGGGCAGCCTGAGCTCCTCTGGCTGGGCGATGGGAGACTCCAGCGGGGGTTTTGCTGCCTGGGGGGAGGGCAAGGTGATGGACAGGGCTGATGGCTCCTCCTCCTCGGCTCGGGGAGGCTGGGTGGCAGACACACTGTTAGTGCTGCTGCTTGGGGTGGTCACTGGAGCAAGGGAAGGCTCAGGTTTGGATGATGTAGTCACCTCCTCCCTAGCCTTCGCCACCTCCTCTTTAATCTCCTTCTCCTCCTCCCGAGCCTCCTTGGCGGCTGAGGGCTGCTCCTCGGCTGCAGGAGTGGGGCGGGGTTCAGGCAGGGGCGCAGGGTAAGCGGGCACTTCAGGGGCAGATGGGGCTGGAGCAGCGGCCGGGGCTGGTGCGTCCATCACGTCTGCAACGGGACTAGTTGAGGGTGGGGGGGTGGGTAGGTCCTGGGGTAAGGAAGGGGAGTTACTGTCCGTGTCTGGGGGTTTGACCTCTGTAGGGGCAGGGGCAGTCTTGACCAGTTCAGGGGTTTTAGACGGGGCTGGGGGGCCAGTGATGAGAGTGGCTGCAGGTTTCCCTCGGTCATCTGAGGAGGAAAGGCGATGACGAGGAAAAACCATGAGAGGGCCTGCTTAACCATTACCTTTCTAGGGTGAATTTAAAAGACTCAAGTGGCCCATAGTACCATACTAATGTTAAAATTTACCCTCATATCTGTTGATCATCTTTTGATAATTACCCACTTATTATCAATCCGTCATTAAATGGCCAAAATGCATGGGTCCTTTCCAAAAGGAGCATTTTGCCGGTCTATGCGATTTAGTCAAATTCACGAAAAATGACTTCTATATACTGGATGGGTATGGCCAGCTACATCCTTCAAGATTACCTGACCCCTCGGCCAACTCACCTGGTCTGACGACGACAGGTGTCACGTTCTCACCGTTGGCCTGGGCAACGGCTGGGCCCTCTGATCCAGATATAGATGACTAAAGGAGGGACAGAACACCACAACACACAGACATTAGATAACTAGAGTGGACACAACCTTATGAAGGTTAGATACAATGTCAAATATGAAAACAAAATGTCTGCCCATTCAGAGACATGACTGTATGGTAGGTAAAGGTGTGTAAAGGGATGATAGTTGGTGACGAGAGTATGGTAGCTCACCTCTGAAGAGTCGTCGCTCACCTGTGGGGGTGTGGGGGTGGCACCACTGCGGGTGCCCCCTGACATAATCTCCTCAGTGATGTCTTTACCACCCTGGTTAGGGTCTCGTATTATGATCTATAGAGAGGACACAAGACAACAGTGAGGGATACAAGAAGAAGAATATAGAAAAAGAGAGAGAATGCAGGAGAGCCATCGAGAAAAACTTGTTACTTGCTCTTGCTTCAGTCCCTTTCTATAGGAGAGCAAAAAAGAGTGAGAAATAGCCAGAGTAAAGGAGAGAGGGGGTGAGTTTAGTGGGAGGAAGAAGCTGGAGAAGAGCTGCTACAACTAACTGCTTTCTATGATGCAAGGCCCTGTTTCCAACTGTGCCAAGTCTTCTGTGTTGTACTGTAGGGCTGTGGCCTAGCAGCGTCTTCTCAATCAGCAGAGCTACATTTCTCACATACTGACACAAGAAACACCAACCCCACAAAGCTATGCAGCCTGAGAAACCCATTTCTACACAGATTGCTGCCTTGTTTTTGTGAATTCTTCCAACAAAATTTGACTACGGACAAACTCAACTTCAGCCAAGTTACCAAACAAATTCCAGTGCAAGACAGACATTTCCTTTGCTCTCTCCATATGATCACTCAAACTACACCTAGAAAATCCGCCAGATTTTATGTTATTGAAAAGCACATCGTACAATACTCCTTTGAACTACTGAAAAACAGATGATTACTCACTTACAAGGCGTGCCCTTCCACTGAGCAACATGTTTTCTATCACAAACTCTCCTCTCGCTCTCTCCTTCACATGCACGTACACACTGTAAAAGTTGTCAGCAACAGGCGTGAGCCAGCACATTCCCCCACTGGTAGTCGTTTACCTGGCACACGGACAGGCTCCAGAGCCCCTAGAAGGCCTCTCTCATCCTGGGCCCGGAGTTGAGTTGTCGGCCTGCAGGCCTCTCCCAGCAAGCAGGCTGCTTTTGCAACCGTGGCTGGGAACACGCACGTAGCCTACTCCCTCAACAACTCACTGAGCAGAGCAGAGCAGAGCCAGCAAGGCAGAGACAGCAGGGCAGAGACAGCAGGGCAGAGCCTCGTTCCCAGCTTTCTCACACACGTACAGAGGGAGAGAGCGGGAGGGTGAGAGAGAGAGCGAGAGAGAAGCCAGAGCGACTGGCCTTGTGGAGCTGCAGCACTGGAATGCAAGCGCCCCCGCCCACAGAGCACCGAACTAGTCAGTCAGTCAGTCAAAAGGGGGCCAAAGAGAGGGGGAGTGAGATTCCAGAAAAAAAGGAGTGGAAGAAAAAAAAACTACAGAACTTTGTCAAATAAGCTCCGGCTAGTGCAAAAATAAATAAAAATAAAAACAAATAAAAAAACTTGGCTCCTCTTCTGTCATTCTGTGCACACACTCACATTTCAGCCTCTTCCTGGGGGAGAGAGGGAGGGGCAGTGGACGGAAGAGGGGAGAGGGGGGTATGCCACAGAAGCAGCAGCAGAGACAGCAAGATAGAGAGAAGGGGAGGAGAGAGAGAGAGAGAGAAGGGGAGGAGAGAAGGGGAGGAGAGAGAGAGAGAAGGGGAGGAGAGAAGTCAGCCATTGTGCTTCCGGCTCAGAAGGGGAGGAGCCTGGCAGCCACGTGGAGCTCAGCTATGTGCTGACATGTCCTTTAAACCCCCCCCCCCCCCCTCTACCCAGAGACCAGAGCGAGTGCAGCTAAAACATTTTTATGGAGAAAGCAGTGGAGGAAAAAAAAAAACTGGCCAATGCACTTCTTGAAGGCAGTAGTTAACAAAATAAAAAATATATACTATTATTTTGTTACAAGACAGCTACAACTAAACAGTCTGCTTAGCTCTACTGAAAAACAGCTTTACACTTCAGACTCTTCTGCCTGAATACCAGCAGACATTTTTGAAACCATATAGAAAGACACAGCGTGACTCAGACACAGACTGGCTGAAGCATGACTCACTGTGGGGTGTGCTGCTGCAGATCTTCCTCCCTCGTCCACCATCCTCCTAGCGGGACTGGGAGCTCAGGGAGCCTCTCTGAAGGACCTTGAACAGCGTGGGACGGGGCAGCTTGGCCGGCCAAAGTCCGCCCCAGCAACCACAGCCAGCTGCATGCTCCCACAGACAGTGATAAAGCAGCCAGGCCCACCGTACCATACAGAGCACAGATATACTGGAGACTAGATCAGACTAGTCCACCATACAGAGCACACATACACTGGAGACTAGATCAGACTAGTCCACCATACTGAACACAGATACTCAATGACATAAGCCTAGCACACCGTAGAACAGATGCACTGCAGACTAGATCAGAGTAGTCTACTATATAGCAGTCTAACCTAGATCAGCCAGGTCCACTTTAGTCACCTCAGCACAGGGACAAATCAGCTTAATCCACCATAGAGCGCAGTAGAGGACAAGAGGAAAACTTGATCAGCGGTCTGCCATTATGGTGCTAAAAAACCAGACCAGCCAAGTCCACCATAGACAGTAGGACTGGGAATTGCCAGGGACCTCACGATACAATATTATGACCATACTTAGGTGCTGATACAATACGCATCGCAATTCTCACGATTCTTTATGTATTGCGATTCGATACTGCGATTTCATTGCGATTTGAAGTTTCAAACATATTGCTCACTGAGTGTACAAAACATTAGGAACACCTGCTCATTCCATGATAGAGTGACCAGGTGAAAGCTATGATCCCTTATTGATGTCACCTGTTAAATCCATTTCAATCAGTGTAGATGAAGGGTAGGAGACAGGTTTTTTATTTTTTTTATGTAACCTTTATTTAACCAGGTAAGCCAGTTGAGAACAAGTTCTCATTTACAACTGCGACCTGGCCAAGAAAGCAAAGCAGTGCGATAAAAACAACAGAGTTACATATGGGGTAAACAAAACATAAAGTCAAAAATACAACAGAAAATATATATACAGTGTGTGCGAATGTAGTAAGTTATGGAGGTAAGGCAATAAATACGCCATAATACGAAATTGTAACCATTTTGCACTAACACTGGAATGATAGATGTGCAAAAGATGTGCAAATAGAGATACTGGGGTGCAAATTAGCAAAATAAATAACAATATGGGGATGAGGTAGTTGGGTGGGCTAATTTCAGAATGGCTGTGTACAGGTGCAGTGATCGGTAAGCTGCTATGACAACTGATGCTTAAAGATAGTGAGGGAGATAAGAGTCTCCAGCTTCAGAGATTTTTGCAGTTCGTTCCAGTCATTGGCAGCAGAGAACTGGAAGGAATGGCGGCCAAAGGAGGTGTTGGCTTTGGGGATGACCAGTGAGATATACCAACTGGAGCGCAGACTACGGTGGGTGTTGCTCTGGTGACCAATGAGCTAAGATAAGGCGGGGATTTGCCTAGAAGTGATTTATAGATGACCTGGAGCCAGTGGGTTTGGCGACGAATATGTAGTGAGGGCCAGCCAACAAGAGCGTACAGGTCACAATGGTGGGTAGTATATGGGGCTTTGGTGACAAAACGGATGGCACTGCGATAGACTACATCCAATTTGCTGAGTAGGGTGTTGGAAGCTATTTTGTAAATGACATCGCCGAAGTCAAGGATCGGTAGGATAGTCAGTTTTACGAGGGCATGTTTGGCAGCATGAGTGAAGGAGGCTTTGTTGCGAAATAGGAAGCCGATTCTAGATCTAACTTTTGTTTGGAGATGCTTAATGTGAGTCCGGAAGGAGTCTAACCAGACACCTAGGTATTTATACACTTCAACTACCTCAACTAGCCAGTGCACCCGCACATTGACTCTGCACCGGTACCCCCCTGTATATATAGCCTCCTTACTGTTATTTAATTTGACTTCTGCTCTTTTTTTCAACACTTTTGTTGTTTTATTCTACTTTTTTTAATTAAAAAAATAAATGCACTGTTGGTTAAGGGCTTTAAGTAAGCATTTCACTGTAATGTCTGCACCTGTTGTATTCGGCGCATGTGGCCAATAAAATTAGATTTGATTTGTAGTTGTCCACATACTCTAGGTCAGACCCACCGAGAGTAATGATTCTAGTCGGGTGCAAGCAGCGTTTGGTTGAAGCGCATGCATTTAGTTAAAGAAGGATTTTCCAGCATCGAGACATGGATTGTGTATGTGTGCCATTCAGAGGGTGAATGGGCAAGACAAATATTTAAGTGTCTTTGAACGGGGTATGGTAGTAGTTGCCAGGGGCACCGGTTTGAGTGTGTCAAGAACTGCAATGCTGCTGGGTTTTTTCACGCTCAACAGTTTCACGCGTGTATCAAGAATGGCCCACCACCCAAAGGACATCCAATCAAACTTGACACAGCTGTGGGAAGCATTGGAGTCAGCATCCCTGTGGAACGCTTTCGACATGCCCTGACAAATTGAGGCTGTTCTGAGGGCAAAAGGGGTTGCAACTCAATATTAAGGTGTTCCAAATGTTTTTTTAAATCACTCACGGAAACTTGAGCTGAAAACACTTTGGCTCACTATTTAAAAATAAGATGACGAACAAACTATAGGATGAAAAATACCGGAGTTTTGGCACAGGTACACACACCTATTTTACAAATAGATACTTTGAGGAAAAGTATCAATATAATATAGTCTAAAATAATATTACGATATGTAACTATCATTTCCCCCCCCACCACTAATAGACAGAGCAGATTAATCCAGACCAGCCGAGGCCACCAGGACCAACAGCCGGAGAAGAGAGGCACACCAGTCCTAAAGAACATGTTTGAGTCACACAGCAGTTTAGTGTTACAGTTCATCAAGTGAAGGTCAAGAGTTCCATTTTAAATCACTGACTGTAAATCATGAGCAGGCCCATCTACAATCCTCCCTAGACAGATTGCAACACTACCCACATCAGTGTGTATCACACAAGCCCAAGTCCTCTCGTTACCATGGCAACCTGTCATGTCACATCCACCTTTAGAGTGTAGGCCGGCCAGACAGACAGGAAGACGCAGTAGCTGTAGACCAAAACTACACTGTGCACCTTATCAGTAGATGATGTGGAAAAGGCATCCGTGTTGGACACACATTACTGACTGAAACTATACTTGATTTAAAAAAAATATTCACATGCTTTATTAGCACAGTCCTTCCCTTCTTTTAAAACACGAGAATCACTTAAGTATTTAAACCCTGCTCTGGATGAGGGGAAAGATTGACCTTATAACGTCAGGCCCCTAACGTCTCTTGGTGAATGTTTCCAGTTCTGATACCTGTCCATTCTGAGATGAGGATACCAGATTGTCTACCTAAGTAGAGGTCTAATGTGGGCTGGCCTGTGGTCCAGCAGTTAGTGCCACTGACCCCGGCATTCCAGAGTGGGCATGGTTTCCAATCCAACGCACTGGGTACCAGAGTGGGCATGGTTTCCAATCCAACTCACTGACCTTGTGCTCCTCCTATCTCTCCTGTCTTTTCTCCACTGTCCTATCTGCTCAATAAAACCACGAAACAATATGAAAGCAGTAAAAAAAAAAAAAAAAAAGTATTGTAGAGGTGGGGTGATGAGTTTGAGTTTGTGTGTGTGTGTACACACACACACACACACACACACACACACACACACACAACCAGTCAAAGGTTTGGACACACCTACTCATTCAAGAGTTTCTTTATTTTTTTACAATTTCTTTACATTGTAGAATAATGGTGAAGACATCAAAACTATGAAATAACACATATGGAATCATGTAGAAACCAAAAAAAAAAGTGTTAAACAAATCAAAATATATTTTAGATTCTTCAAAGTAGCCACCCTTTATCCTCCCATCCCGGAGGACCTGAGCCCTAGGACCATGCCTCAGGACTACCTGGCCTGATGACTCCTTGCTGTCCCCAGTCCACCTGGTCGTGCTGCTGCTCCAGTTTCCACTCTTCTGCCTGTGGCTTTGGAACCATGACCTGGCCTTATAATCTCCACCTGGCACAGCCAGAAGGGGACTGGCCACCCCTCAGAGCCTGGTTTTTCTCTAGGTTTCTTCTTAGGTTTCTGCTTTTCTAGGGAGTTTTTCCTAGCCACCGTGCTTCTACATTTGCATTGCTTGCTGTTTGGGGTTTTATGCTGGGTTTCTGTATAGCACTTTGACATCTGCTGATGTAGAAAGGGCTTTATAAATACAATTTGATTGATTGATTGATTTACAGCTTTGCACAATCTTGGCATTCTCTCAACCAGCTTCATGAGGTAGTCACCTGGAATGCATTTCAATTAACAGGTGTGCCTTGTTAAAAGCTAATTTGTGGAATTTCTTTCCTTCTTTATGAGTCTGAGCCAATCAGTTGTGTTGTGACAAGGTAGGGGTGGTATACAGAAGGTAGCCCTATTTGGTAAAAGACCAAGTCCATATTATGGCAAGAACAGCTCAAATAAGCAAAGAGAAACAATTGTCCATCATTACTTTAAGACATGAAGGTCAGTCAATGCGTAAAATTAAGAACTTTTAAAGTTTCTTCAAATGCAGTCCCAAAAACCATCAAGGGCTATGATGAAACTGGATCTCATGAGGACCGCCACAGGAATGGAAGACCCAGAGTTACCTCTGCTGCAGAGGATAAGTTAGAGTTACCAGCCTCAGAAATTGCAGCCCAAATAAATGCTTCACAGAATTCAAGTAACAGACACATCTCAACATCAACTGTTCAGAGGAGACTGCGTGAATCAGGCCTTCATGGTCGAATTGCCGAAAAGAAACCACTACTAAAGGACACCAATTAGCAGAATAGACTTGCTTGGGCCAAGAAACACGAGCAATGGACATTAGACTGGTGGAAATCTGTCCTTTGGTCTGATGAGTCCAAATTTCAGATCCTTGGTTCCAACCGCCGTGTCTTTGTGAGACGCAGAGTAAGTAGGTGAACGGATGATCTCCGCATGTGTGGTTCCCACCGTGAAGCATGGAGGAGGTGTGATGGTGCTTTGCTGTTGACACAGTCAGTGATTTATTTAGAATTCAAGACATACTTAACGAGCATGGCT